CAGAATTGGTGTGTGCACCAGTTTCAGGATCTTTGAATGTAATAGAGTGATTACCTCTAGATGGGTAAACCCATTTATTAAACAATCATAAGCCTTCCAGCAATTCGAAATCACAATAGATTTAGACTTGATGTAATTCTTAACCATGTACAAGATTACCTCCTGACTACGACATTCAACGACCTTGAAACAGCACTGAGAGGAACCCCTTTCAATACCACCAAACACCCATTACCTTCCACTCTTTTTCTCCTATTACACTTCCTTTTGCCAAACTTGCTCTCATTGATTTTAACTTCAACACCCTCTCCACCCAGTGGTTCACTTTCATCTTCAAACACTTCACTACATACCTCTCGACAAAAGCTCGTCCAATTAGTCACTGCAGTCTAATTTACACCCGCTTCCAAACAAATGTGATACTCTTGCTTCCATAACCCACAAGTAGGTAATGAGAAGCACCTTCCATATCTCCAAATGACTCCTCTCAAACCAAGAATCCTTTTGCACAGACATTTTCACGCTATGACCATTCTCGCCTCTGAATCTACAAACCACTCGTAACTATCTGTTGTATCCTTTATCTCAGTGAATTTCCTATCATTCGTGCATACATTACATACACGTCGAGACGCAAGCAAACCCACTTCCATGCAGCAAACAAACTTCCCTCTCGTCGCAAACAATAAATAAATCCTGAATTCATACATTCCATCACGGGAGACACACAAAACTATTAAAAGAGAACTTGAAATGCGAAAAGAACACGCAAATCCATCCCAACAAAGCCTTTAGAATATTATACCTAATCATTGTATGAATTAAATAATTTAATCGTCGTAGTAACAACTAGATGTGTTATTAGGAAGCTGTTTAATTAGTAAATGAAGTCTATATTTGTATTTCAATTCAATCAGCAAGCAAAAATATTATTTTGTGCTTTAAAAGAGTGTTGTGAAATGTAATTCAATTTCAATATATATATATATATATATATATATATATATATATATATATATATATATATATATATAATTTGGTTGATCCGGAGTTTAAGGTGCCACCGGTTCCAGTGATTCACTGATTCAGGTTCACTAGTTCTCGTGATTCACAAGATTATAGTTGCGTGGTCACTTCAATCACTAGAGAATAATTTTGCTGTTATATTGCATTGATTAAAAGCATAGATATATACACAATTTGACTATGCCATATAATGCTATACATTTTGCTATTACGAAACATTTTTTCTTCATGACGACACATTTTAAATTTCAATTCACATCTAAAATTACACTTCACAACACACTTTCAAAGCACAAAATAAGATTTTTGATTGCTGGTTGAAATGGATTACAAATAAAGACACTATTTTGCTAATTAAACAGCCTTCTAATAACACAGTTGTTACTATGACAACAAAATTATTTACTTCATAATTTTATGAATTGTAAAATTAAGATATTTTTGGCGTGGATTTGCGTGTTTTTTGGGCATTTCAAGTTTCTTTTAATAGTTTTGTATGTCTACTGAGATGGAAGGTATGAATTCAGGATTTTATTTATTATTTCCGCTGAGAGGGAAGTTTGAATGTGATTCAGAGGTGTCAGAAAGTGCGTTTGCTTACGTCTCGACGTGTATGTAATGTATGCAAGAAAGATATGACATTAACTGAGAGAAAGGATAGAACAGATGGTTTTGAGTGGATTTGCAGTCAGAGGCGAGAATGGTCATAGCGTGAAAATGTCTGTGTGAAAGGATTCTTGTTATTAATTTACTGAACTTTAGTTCATAAAAAGTAAAATTGTGTGTATTTTTTTAGATAAAAGCAGATTTGGTGATACGTTGATGAATCATTGATTTTTTTCGTGTAATAAGGATGTTATACGTAATTAGTAGAGACGTTACACTAATTTTACTACCATAGTATTTTTAATACTATTAAAATTTTATAATTTCAGCTATTATGTGAGTTGTTTTTTTTCTTTTTTCTAATAAAATACCGCTATATTTAATACAGTGTTTGTTTAAAAAATGATCGGGTTGATTTTATATTATTAAAATGGGGGTTGGGAGCGATGGCCCCCCAATAATAAAAAAACAAGAAAGTGTTAGTGAAATATACTGAGAATTCTAGAGCGTATAAAAAAGTGTTAAGTAAATAAGATTCTTTTTTTGTGATAAAATAGTGGCTTTGAGTAGTAAAGATAGTTTAAGTAGCATGTGAGTGTTAAATAGAAATTATAATTCTTGCGATAACATGGTGAACATTACAACACGCGAATATAAACAAGGGTTCAGTTCATCTATATGCTTTGGCTTAAGAAAATTGATCATTTCCAGCAAAATTATTCTCTAGTGATTGAAGTGAACCGCGCAACATCTTGTGAATCACGAGAAAAAGAGAGCCGAATCAGTGAACCAAAGGAACCATGCCACCCTAAACTCCGGATCAACCAGACGGTCTTCCTTTAATTATGTTGGGCCTTGGTTCCTTTTTGCCTTAAAAACCATGTCATAATACCTCAAAAGACCCCATACAATGCATGTTTTACTCCAGAAATGCTAAAATTTTCACAGGTTGCACGAATGCACTTTTGGCTGAAGTTTACTTAAGGCATGTTTACTTATTTCATTTGTTGACGTCTATTTCCAATCTAATAATTGTATGTTTACGCGGCGATCGAGTTGTAGTACAACAATGGCGATGAATTGAAGCATAAAATGAAGTATAAGTATAAATTTGTACAAAAATGTTTAGTATGCTACAGGAACAAAAACTTGTTTCCTTGATAGTGTGTTTTAGATATACACACTTTTATGTAAATCCTAAAAACCGCAGACTCGTTTACTTTGGAAATTCGTTGAACAAACTCCAGAACGTTGTATGTTATTCGCATGTTGCCAATGACCAGTCTCGTTGTGAAATGTGACACGAGTATCGTGCGTCACTGTGTCCTATTATTAACTTGTGTTAATTTCATTAGCGGTGTACATCTTCTAGAATTCAGTGGGAAATATAGTTATTCAATTCATCGTTCTCCATGTCGTGGCAAGAAATATAATTCCTTCACGAAGGACATGATGAGGGATGTCTGGGAGTCTAAGTCAAACTTATTTACCGTTGAAAATAGATTTTATTACATCGGATCGAATATTTTGTAAATAATCCTTGCAAAAAATCCTCATTTCTTTCTATATTCGAAATTCAACTAGTATATGCCTTAAGGTAGAGATCATAGAATTATGAAAATGTGTACATAATTCACTTTCTCCCCGTAACACGTCACACAGTTTTTTAACTGTTTCTGTCGTAAAATACAATAAATACATAAAAGATTTGTAAGTACAGTATGTCTTTCCACTCCGTTAATATTCGTTGTCCATGCTTACAAAAATTTACTATTCTGGTATATTGACAAAATCAATTTACACTTTTTAAAATTCATGAAGTAGAAGCTGTGACAGATGAAGCAAAAATGGCATTGATTCCCGGTAAGTAAACTATACCGCATATTTCAACCAGACCAAATAAGTATTACCTGCTAAACATTGGAGAAAGGATTACATGATACGAACGACGATGAATATCAAATGAACGCAAAATTAAGTTTATTATGCTATGCGTTCAAAATTCGTTCAAATTAAGTCATTCTTCTTACAGCTCGTAGGTATTTCGCGAATATTCATTCCTGCCTGAGATATGGTATAATATTCCGCGGAAATATATCCCAGACTTTTAGATTACAAAACGTGATAATGAGTACGAATAATATGCAAATCTTGCATGCAATTTCTTGATTTACGAATCAGTGTTTTTGTCATAAATGACTTTCTTAAAAGTGGGATTATATTATTAGCAATCGCCGATGTCTATATAACACTTGACGTAGTAATCATATGCATCAGGTAACAGTATCAACAGCTCACAATAAAAAATTCGCATTTTCATTATTTTACTACACTTTGTCAGATGACATTAAATTCGATTCAAAAGTTTTAAGTTGCAAGTAAAATCTCTTCTGCTGCATAACTGTTTCTCTACAATTAGAGACCATACCGAGCATTAAAAAGGAAACTAATATTAATTCTAACAATGCTATTTAATGTATCACAATTACGTGTATATAATTCTAAACAACATGTATCAGGTATTGTACCGCAGCTTCTGGGTCAATGACCTCCATCTCAATCAGGTTTTTCATCTAATTTCCCTGATTTTTTGAGGAAATGCTGAGGTAGCCATTTGTTTTGCTTCTGGACATAAATGTAACTTCATTATCTGTGCACGACTTTTAGAATTCAATAGGAAATATAGTCATTCAAATTATCGCTCTCCATATTGTCGTGTCGGGAAGTAATATTTCTTCGCGAAATAATACATGACATGATAAGAGATAAGAGCCGAAATGTATACGTGATAGATTTTATATCATCGAAGCGAATATTTTGTTAATAATCCTTGCAAAAAATGGTCATTTCTTCCTGTATTCGAAATTCTATTAGTGTATGGCTCAGGATAATGCTACAATTATGGAAACGTGCATAGAATTCACTTTTCACGTAGCACGTCAGTTTTGAACTGTTTTTTACGTAAATTAAATTATTACAATGTGTGCCCACGACAATCAAAGATGTTCAATGCATCCACGTTATGAAATAAATATATCCCTATTGACGCCTATTGTCATGGAAGTGTTATAATTTTAGTTTCTTAATTTAGTATGAAATAAATTAAATTGTGTTCTACTATTGATTTTAATTTTACGGATATCGGCCCCTCATTTTGACTGACTACCCCTAGTTTTAAATGAACTTCAAAAGATTTCTCTTTTCCTATTCTCCTTTTGTACTCATTCATTGCGCAAAATGAAAAAGACTGACCAATAATACTATGTTTAACATTCATGATGTACTAATTATAACAATATCTATTGCAATTGTAACTGTTAATTTCATTATCTTTGCACAGGAAACGTTTTATTCATCTGCTCCTGAAGACACTGTTTTATGCCACGATTATCTGGATTATTTTATCAACGTTCCACTTTCTGTTGCTTGCGAAATGATGTAGGTGCTTCGAACAAAGAAAATCAAATACACCACCAAGCCAATATTTAAACTGGAATGTCTACATCATGTTTCTTTAAAAAAATAACTTTCCGCTAATAAAAAATAGATGGTTACCGAACAATATTAAATATACAGTTTATTTCTATGGTTTGTAATCTACATCCGTGACAATAAATATTATAAATTTTCCTTGTCTACCCTTATTCTTCACCTCTGCTCCTGTCAGAAAGAAAAAAGTTATTCTGCACGAAACATGAGAGTTCCTGCAGTAATAAAAATCGAATGACAATAGACAATAGACAATACTATTGATTTTTCAATACTATTGTTAGTTCAAGGCTGAAGTAGGTTAAACGGAGCATTTTAAAATTAAAACAGCGCGATAAAATGCAAGGCGTGTATCTGCAATAGAATTTAAATAAAACTTCTATTTTTTAATTGTTAAGTATCAGCTTATTTTTATTTACAAAAAATAGTCATTGTTCAGCTGACCGGAAGTTATTTCAGGAACGCAATTTTCGTCTCAAGATGACGCTCAAAGTGGTGTGTAATATTTCTGCGAGTATGAAACATTTCACCCTCTTCCAGTTTACTTTTAGATAGATTCGGTGAACAGACGGTGTGTTTACTCTTAATTGCAACGCACTGTCATGGCGGGCGGCCAGACTCGCTTCGAACTTGCCATTAGCTGTTCATGAGACCGCCACAGTTAGGTGTAGCAGCTAACCTAATGACCACTACGTACGGTTTAGCTACTTGTGGCAACTATCTAGGTTTTATCTGCTCTTAGTTACCACAGTTTGCTTTATCGGTTAATCGACTTCTAAAGCTAAAGCAACGACCGAATGTCGTTGCTTCCGGTCGAAACCATGACATTGGGATAGAGTATGCCAACATTCCACGACGACGATATAAACAACCCTCCTGCGGAATGCCGAACCCCGGGCGGATGAAGATTGCGACCGAAGATTAAAGCAGAATCCCGCTCAAGAAGACAACTAACAACTTAGAACACCAAAAGCAGGGTATCTGGTGTGGATGGCGCTCCCAGCACCCAAATCAAAGTAACATCTGGTTCCTTCCTCTGTGTCTCTAACTTACCATACCAATCTGAATGCATTTCCTCAACTCCTTGACCCAAACCACACACACCCACTAGCCAAAACCCTCCACCATCACCAAACCCAAACTTTGTGACCGCCATAGTTAAATTTATACGTAGAAAACCCGCACCTTACACTCCTTATAATTCAACTTCCAACAGATTTACTCTTCTTGCCCAAACTGACAACTCCGATACCACCCATGCCAAAAGTACCTCAACTGGCAACCCTGCAACCTAGCTAGCCCTAGTCCACAACCTGCAAAACAGGATTCAAATCGGATCCATCCACATGGACAATGCTGGACTGACAAACGCTACAAGAGTTCTGACTGACCATCAAAAAGTACAATACATGATTATTCAAACTAAAACACAACATGCCGAGAGATTCACTGAAGGCAGGACTTACTACAGCCCTCAGAACTAAGTACTTCACCACAAACTTGTTCTATCACTACCACAAAACGTACCACAGGCCGCTCGACAGACTGACGCTGGACGCCGGACACGCGGTGACGAACGTGCTACGCTCATCTGCTATATAATACTATGTATTCCAAAGTTAGCTAATAAACGACATTCCGATTGTGTATCGTGTGTCATTATTCATACAACATGGTGGCAGCGATAACAGTGTGAATTTACCAGTAGAAGCAAGTAGAACGCGAAAATGACAGAAGACGTTGCAGCTAACCTGCAAATGGCAGCGGCGGCGACGTCGTCAAACAACATCGCAGCACCGGATCCGTTCGATTTCAACGCTCGCCGAATGGAAGAAGAGGTTCGAGAGGTTTCGAATGGCTTCAGAACTAAAAGCGGTCTCAGAAGATGAACAGGTATGGTCTATTTAATGGGAGAAAAAGCGGGGTTATGTTAACGTTCAATCTGACAAACGAAGAAGAGAAACAGTAGGAAACTGTGATTCAGAAATTTGACAATCACTTCGCACAAAAAGTTACTAACGTAATTTATGAAAAAGCCCGCTTTCATACTCGTGTCCAAAATCCCGGGGAATCGACGAATGATTTCATTACGGCGTTACATAACCTCGCCAAAAATTGCATCTATAGTAATTTGAAGGATGAGTTTATTCGCGACAGAATTGTGTTGGTGTCGCAGACAAAAACTCAGCGAGCGAATACAATTAGACGATACTCGATAAAGCCGTAAAGATGATAACACAATCTGAGGAGGTTAGAAAGCAAGTCGAAAGCCTTCAACAACCTACTGAAATCGAATCGTAATACATAAGAAAATCGGCGCCAACATTAAATTCACGGGCAGCCAGAAGAAATATGTTGATAAGCAAAACAAGAAATCTGATACGAGACCTAACCTCAATTCCAAGCAGACGAATAACTGCTAATGGTGTGGCCGTGAAAAGCACGAGCGCAAATCATGTCCGGCCAAAAAAGCCATTTGTTACAAATGCGAGAACAAAGTCCATTTCTCTAATAGCTGCAGATCCAAGAAAAATGTGTGCATGATAACCGAAGATAAACTAGAGCTAGACGTGCTACACATTGATGCTATTGACGAGAGCAGGAATCTTAACGACGAATGGATGGTGATGATCCAGGTTAACGGGAAGAATATCCGGTTCAAAATCTACACAGGTAAAGACGTCACACCCCTCTCATTAAAGTATGCCGGAGACAGAACTTGGAATAAACCTGCACGGAAGGTTACAAGTCCGGATAAAACAGTTGGAAATCCAAGGAACTGAGCAGGTCACGTTAACCTACAAGGACAGGACTTTACATGGAGATATCTACTACTTCCATAACCTTCATCAGCTGCTATTGGAGAAATTCGAAGCAGTTAAACGAGAATTGGTGAAGAGGATCAACACGGTCTTCAACGATCGCACTATTTCATTGGATGATGTAAAGTCGAAATTTCCCGAGTTATTTTATGGTATCGGGAAAATCCCTGGGAAGTGCAAGTTGACGGTGAAACCCGATGCAAAACCGCTCACAGTGACTGTTCCTAGAAGGATCGCCATTCCCCTCATCGATCAGGTCGAGAAAGTTCTACAGAATATGCTGAAAGAAGAAATAATTTCACCGGTCCACGAGCCTACTGAATGATGTTCTCCAATGGTCGTCACCTTCAAGAAGGATAGCAGTCCGAGAATTTGCGTCGACAGGAGGGAGCTGATCAAATCCATACAAAGAGAGGATCATCCTATCCCAGATGTCCACTACACTCTGAATCGAATCAAGGACGCTAAGTACTTTTCGAAATTGGACGCAGCCTCAGGTTTCTATCAGATGGTTTTAGAAGAAGAGTCTCGGCTACTCACCAAATACCTTTTGGAAGAGTTTTTATTTCAACCGTCTACCTTTCGGAATAACAAGTGCTCCAGAACTTTTTCAAAATAAAATGCAGGAAGTATTGAAAGACTGTCATGGTGTCGTGTGTGTGATGGATTACATTCTGATATACGGGTTTAGCAGAGAAGAGCACAATAGGCGACTGGAAAGTACTGGCGAGAGAAAGTACTCTCCAGACTGAAAGAAACCAGGATTGCACTGAACGAGAAGTTGTCCATCAGCGACACGTCTACTGATTTCCTTTGACATATTGTTGACGAAGCAGGAACTCGTATCCATTCAGATATCCAACGACAAGAAGGGACTCAAGAGATTGATAGGCATGCTTAATTCTTTAGCGAAGGCAATTCCCGACAAGGCTACGATTCGGGCTCCACTTCAAATGCTACTGAGAGAAGATATGGTCTTCGTTTGGGGACCTAGTCAGGAAGAAGCCTTTGCAAAAGGGAAGTCTATTTTAACTTCTGCTCCCGTTCTGGCACGATTCGAACTAAGAAGAAAAACTATAGTGACAGCGGATGCGTCGTCGTACAGAATTGGAGGGGCGCTGCTACAGGTTCAAGAAGATGGAAGCATTAAACCCATTGCCTATACTTCAAAAGTGCTATCGGACACTGAGAAACGCTACGCACAGATTGAAAAGAACGTCCCAGCGAGTACTTCCGCCTGTGAATAATTTGCAGACTACATCACAGGCATCGAAATTGAGATTGAAACCGATCACAAACCCCTTATCCCGATCCTTACCACTAAGATGCTAGACAATCTATCCCCCAGACTACAAAGGTATCGTATCCATCTCATGTGACTCGATTACACTGTTGAACATGTTCCAGGTAAAGACTTGGCAACAGCTGATACCCTACCTATGCTACCAATAATCCACAATGCGCGGGATGAACGTCTGGAAACCATAGATTCTCACGTGATTGGTGCAATTACACACCTCCCAGTGTCGTTTGAGAAACTGTCAGAAATTGTCAAGGAACAGAAGGAAGATGCTGAACTATCGGCGGTACGTGTCTACATCTGCAATGGATGGCCCAAGAGAGAAACTTGTCCAGACACCCAGAAGCCATTCTTGGAGAAGAGATGGGACATCACGCGCCAAAACGACCTCTTTCTATATGAAACGAGAATAATAATACCAAGCAAATTGCGAGCCAGTATGTTGCCAGTGGATAGGATACACGAGGGACATTTAGGTATCACGAAGTGCAGAGCACGTGCAAATCAGACTGTTTGGTGGCCCGAAATGTCAAAACAAATTCAAGAGCAGGTAGAAAATTGTGCTGTCTGCGCACAACACCGGACTAACCGACACCAATCTCTGATCCAGATCGAACAGCCTAGTCGCCCTGAACAGCCATACCGCGCAGGAAACTGGTATGGACCTATTTAAGGTGAACAACGCGTGGTACCTCATCATCATCGACAAGTATTCACGGTACCCCGTTGTCGTCAAATGTGAAAATTTGACAATGGAAACCATTATAGCAAAGATGTCTGAAATTTTGAAGAGGCAAGGTATCCCGGATGAGTTTCTGACGGACAACGGGACCCAGTTCAACCCCTTTCGAGGATCCCGGATTTTCAAGAAGTTTCAGGAAACTTACGGTTTTCGATTGATTACGAGAAGTCCAGAATATCCACAATCAAACGGCCTCGCTAATGCAGGGGTTAAAATAGTCAAGAATATATTCAAGAAGAAGAAAGACCCGTACAAAGGCCTGTTAACCTCTCCTAACACTCCGTTGGAGAATGGATATTCACCAGCAGAACTTTCAATGAGTCGAAGATTGAAGGACTTCTTACCGGTGGTATCAGTCAATTTGGAATCACGGCTGGCAAAGCAGTACCAAGTATCGGCGAAATAAGATCGACGGAGAGCAAGAGGTCAGGAATATTACAATTCGTCAAAAGGTGTTAAACAGCTTCCAGAACTGCTTCCTGGACCAGAGTCTTCACCAAAGATGCTAAGAGATTTGGAACGGTGATACGAAGGGCCGAGCAACCTCGATCATACATTATACAAACTCACACAAATCGAGTCCGACGAAACAGATACACCATATTCCCAATAAAGCCAGAAGACACCGAAGAGATAAGCTCGCCACCGAGATGGACAACACCCATGAAGCGACGGACCTCCTGATCATACACCAGCGACGAGAGCAGCCGATCAAGAAGATGGACACCTGCCAGTGGAAGGCCAACGAACTCGGGCAGAACGTCTGTCAAAACCTCAGCGTCTCAACCTTTAGTCTCAAAAGAGGGAGTTGTTGTATGATTGACAAAGGGTGCCACTTTGCGAGCGCGCCAGAAATTACCGCAACGGCCTGACTGCAGGCATCTCGACAGACTGACGCTGGACGCCGGACATGCGGTGTCGAACGTGCTACGCTCATCTGCTATATAATACAGTGTATTCCAAAGTTAACTAATAAACGCCATTCCAATTGTGTTTCCTGTTTCGTTATTCATACACTAAACATACGAGTAAATGAAACTTCATTATCTGCGCACATCTTCCAGAGTTCAATGGGAAATAAAGTTATTCAAAATATCGTTTTCCGTGTTGCCCTTGAAAATATATTTTATTACTTCGGAACGAATAGTTTGATAATAGTTGCCAAAACGCTCATTTCTTTCTGTATTCAGATTTCAACTTGTAAATGGCTTATTTTAGAGATTCTGGAAATAAAACGTTCAAACAATACACTAAACTTGCCATAGTACGTCATAGTTTCTAACATTTTAACGTAAAATAAAATAATAATACAAAAAAGTAACACCGACCTTTCATTTCTTCGAAAACAATCACTCCTCTGACTGCATCAATTCCCACTTGAAGTTCGCCAACTGACAACAGGACCAACCCGCCTACTTTGATGGCGGTCTGCTTATAAAATGTACGCAACACACAAAAAACCCTGGAATCTCTATCTGGCAACAGACCTGAACAACAAACCACCGTTCTTAACCAAACTCTTTCCTCCTCACCAATTTCACAAATCCTCAAGGTCACCTCTAAACCAGACTTATGTCAACGCGTCCAACACTTCCTATTCTTCTTCCATATTTCCAGATCATTGAACCTACACCATAAGTGACATGAAAAAACTCTTCTCACTCATTAAAAATTTCATCCTATGATTAAATACAAAATTAAATCCTGCTCCTGTGAAAGTCACCAGTCAGGCGTGAGGAAGTCCAGTTTTACGTCTTTAAAAACAACCATGGTTTATTCTTTAAACAAAACTACAATTGCGAAAAAATAAACGAGCAGACAAGTCTTGAATAATTAAAAACCAGAACATTCTCCGCCCGGCCTCGACAACGGGTGCTGGTCGGGAGGGCCGGGCACGGGGACGCGGCGGCGGCAGAAGCGGACAGCGCCTGCGAGGTCCGTGCCGAGGGCGCGTCGGCACTGGCACTGCGAGCAAAGCAGGTGTCCGGCGTCCTCTCGCCTCTGGCCTGCAGCGTCTGGGCGCGCGCGTGCACGTCTCGTCGGCTTTACCGAGGGCGTGTCGCTATGATGCAGCGTCAAGGCAATAGCTTGGGCCACAATAAACTTCCTCTGACCCGCGGACCAACTCCCAAGTCGGCCGTCTCGCCCCACTCTCCGAAACAGACTGAACCCTCCCGAGTCAGCGATTCCTCGCTCTCTCCATTATGCCTACCTGCCTCCCCGCCATATTGCCCCCACCGCTTCTCCGTCGCTCTTCTCACCATGCTGCCCACATTGCCTCCCGCCGTCGTCCGGGGGCGCGCACATCGGGATGCGGTAGGTGGTGGCGTCTCAATAATATATATATATATATAATATATATATTATATATATATATATATATATATATATATATACACTCACACACTTTGAGATGTTTCTACATATTTTTAGTTTTCCAACAATTACACAATAACAATAATTATACATTTTTAATAGTTCAATACATTGTTTTCCATTTTTCTGTTGTAACGCTCATCTTTGTTTATTCCTCTTTCAGTACATTTATAATTTCTTGTTTTCACGACATAGATGGTCTTCCACGTTTCCTTTTTCCAAAAGGTTCCCAATAAAATACTAATTTAGGTAATGTCTATTTTTCCATTCTTTTTACAAGTCCAAACCAGGTTATCTGTTTTTTATAATCCATAATTGAATATGATACATTCAAATTTTTTCTAATAATTTCATTTCGAATTTTATCTCTTCTAGAAATTCTTACCGATCTTCTTCAATAATCCATTTCTAACCAATAATTTTTCTTTTAACTGTGAATTTAACTTCCAAACTTCTGATCCATAAGTCAAAATACTTCTAATTATCCTTTTTTAATATTTTAATTTTAGTCTCTTTTGTGATACCTTCATCCCATAAAATAAAATTGAAATCGTTGTTTTTCCTGAATTTATTTTCTGCCGAATTTATCCGAACAATGTAAATTACTCCTGAAAACTTATGTCACCTCTAACTATAACAAAGGAGTTTCAGGGCATCAACTTATGTCACTGCAGTGCCTCTGACCGGGAGGGCCTAGCGTTCGTGTTTCGACATTGGTAGGACTTTCGACAGTAGCTACATACTAGCTAGGTCGTTTTCAGCTGCTGTCTGAAGAAGAATTTTAGTGGCCAACTGCTCTCACTGGTAGTTTTCCGTGTTTTCTCCGATCAACACCAGGCGAGTGCCGAAGCAATGCCTTAAAAAAAGGCCACGGACCGCGCGCGATCTTTCCTTCTTCTTCTCGTATTCTCACTCCTTACTTACACACACTCACACACACAGATATGCACTTCACTATAACAATTGTCGGGAGTTTAGTCCCGGCTTGGGCGGGGCCCCGCTGGAGGGAGATAGGTTGTAGTGATAGGTTGTAATCCCCACAAGCCGACGTAGGTCTCCGACGTAGGTAGCCGACGTAGAATCTCAACACCCTACGGGAGAAGATCGTCGCCACTAACCGCGATGAAAACTTGCACTACACTTTCGGAACTAATGACTTTGTCGGTTGACGCTCCCTGAACTAGTAAATATGGCTTTACTGTATGATATGGATGATGGGAGAAAACATTTGACAGAGCGATGCGATCTTCGACGATGCTCAACTGCTTTAAAATATGTCAAAATATAGTCGGTTCAATTAAAATATCTCTACATTTGGTGAGCTAGTAGGACATGCGGCACTAAAAAACACTGTTATCCAATCGGGATCTTCAATTTTTGAAATTGAAGCTCCCAATTAGATAACAATCGGGGAATACTGGCCTGAACAGGCCGTATTGCTGGAATGTTGCTTATGGTACCTATGGGACATCGTCAAACCTCGCCGGACCCGAAACCTCATGATCTCCATGTACCCACCTAGTGATATAGGTAACAGAGTGATTTTATTTTGTTCCAGATACTTTCCTCCACTCAAATTCTGTGGTTTTACATCGCACAAAAAGTAAATATTTTAGAATGAATTAGCACAGAAAATATAGGTTCCTTCTAATAACATTAAATCGAATTCACGACAGAGAAAACATTTACTACTGATAATGTATTGCAATTGATAAATGCTATCGAGTGAAATAAAATCTAAGTATATCTTCATAATCCTAATTTTATTATTTTTAGATAGTCAGGTAGTGGTCTAATCAATATACAGTGCCACATTCAGAAGTTATTGCAAGCTGTGTCACATTTCGCGTGCTGCTGACCTTACAGTAATGGTATTGATCTTTAGGAACGTCCTGACATTCAAGCACGAGGCTATTTTTAAACTCTTATTATTGGCTGCATTTGTTATGTTTGTACTTTAAAATTGGTTTGCTTTTTTCCCAAACGCATAGAGGTGTAATTGAGAGCAATTGCGAAGATTATGATTATTGTCGAGTAGTTGCAATGTAGTTCCCCTTGCTAAATCTTTTTTCAATCAGATTCCAGAAGCAGTGTTTTTATCGGGACGGTTGAAATGACTTCATTTCAATTATTCAGATTGAAGTGGTCTGGCGAAAGTAAGTGACTTCTCTGAATTCTTGAATGGTGGATCGTGAACTAATGTACAGAGTAGGCAAAACATATTACTGAACAGCGGCTGATCTTGGGAAGGGACATAGGAGCTATTTCCCACCTCAATCCACTTTGTTGTAATTTCATTCAATTTATACATTCTCACTGATTTCATTACATTCTAAAGCCTTATTTCCATGAAGCACGTGAAGACGTAACTTGATATTCAGATTCTAAAAGTGTTGCGAGTTTGTGTGGCTCTGACAATATTTCAGAAATCGGATTCATTTTTTTCAGGCATTTAAGATTCACTGAATTACGTAAGTGATCTTTTTATGTTTTAAGTTTTTGTATAGCTTTAAATAAAATATTTCATGTCAAATGTTCCACCTCCATTTCAAGTACTTTCCTTAATTGTAGGACTGTGACAGGACAATGTAGGATATTTCTTGATTTCATTTTTTTAAACAGGCAGAAAAAATGAAAGACAATGCGAACAATAAAGCTTAGCTTTAATTTTATTACAGGTTAGCCATATGTTTAAATCATTCCACACGGCTTCAATTTTCTTGTATTTTTCTCGCCAGTACGATGTTCAGCCGTACTCAATATAGGAGTAGGTCAACCACAGTTCACAATTTGCCTATTTTCTACATCATTAAGACGAGAAAACGTTGTACGTAGTAGTTCATTCACAGTGTCATAATTAGGGAGCGGATTTCTATGATTTTGTGTATCTTTGCTTCGGGGCATAGATAAGTGAAATTACTTGACATTTGGATAGAGTTGAGTACTATGTACATTAATAGGCCTAAGTGCATTGTGCATATTTGACCGATTTTTCCTATTGGTGCATATTTGAGTAATTATAGGAGCATATTTTGCATATTTCGTTAAATAGTCCGTCATCTCTAAAATGTTTTATGATTTCGTAGAATCTATTTATTTGTGAGCGTTCATTGATTGGAAAGAGCTAGTCACAATTTGCGTTTTAAGATGATAAATTTTTTGTGCAAATGTAGGATATTTCTTGATATCATATTTTTTTAAAAGGCAGAAAATGAAAGAAAACATAATGACTTGCATATTTTCTTCAATTATTTCTCCCAAGTAAGCTAGGTTATATTATGTATGCACAAAAATATTTCTCTTCATTCTAAGCATGCTTCTCTTGAATTTTATCAAGAAAGGTTTATACAGGAAATTAAATATTGTTATTTTTAATTGCATATTAATGTGCATATTTCAGAATTTTTAGGTCATAAGTGCATAATTTAAGCAACATATTTCAAAGATTTTTAGAGCATAAAAATCCTCTCTTTAGTCATAAAATTAAAGAAAAATCAGTCATTAATATAAAAAAGTAACAATAATAATACGCAACATATTAATTTAAAATGGACAAATAAATACTTCCTGAATAATAATCACTTTCTTCACTTGTTAACTCAACAAAACTATGAACACATGCGCTAAGCGGCTTGCATGTGTGGAAATCGGAATCTTCCGTAGTCTTTTTCCGAGCGGGCAGGCAGATAGAGATTTCGCTGGCGTTCGCACGACCTGCATGCAAGAATGGACATACTATTCTACGCTCACTACAGGGCGTACTCTCATAACACGATGCGAAGCGTGGCAGCGGCTGGGCGTGCCTACCCGGAGCGGGCGCAAGGTGGGCGCATGTCTGCGGGGAGAAACGAGTACACTGGCGGATCCAGGCAGGGGCATGGGGGCCATGGCTCCCCAAAAGGAATAGTTTTCGTTTACCTTCCTTTATTTGGCAAAATTGATTTAAATATTTACGTTCGAATTAGTAATTATTTAAACAACAATATTGTACTATATCATGTCTAAATACATAAATAATATATAATGTAATAACAGATATGTTTATTTTTTAACAAAAATCTACGATGTCCCCCCCCCAACGAATGGATTCCGTCCCTAAGGCGGAGAGATACCGGACGAGACATCGGCATGGCTCAGGCTGTTAGAAAACGCTTGAAATGGAAATATGGCTCGTGCCACGATAATGAAAAGTTCCTTATACATTTACCGATGAATAATGCTTACATTATATTATAAGTGTAAGACTCATTTAATTGTTTTATGATGTAATGTATTAAATTAGTAGTACATATACATCAGTATATGCAGACCTTGTCTACCCCAAGGAGTAGCCACTGATTCTTGTACATTACTATGTCTTTGGTATACACACATTTCAGTTTTTATTGTACATCTGAAATCATTACTAATGTTTCCACATATTAATAATTTATTATTTAATTTTGCTTAATTTTCTTGCATTTTCAAATCGTCCGCCTTAGCTACTTCACCGGATGTACTTTTTTTAAACCATTATTGAATTTTCACTTTTTTCGGTTATCTTGTCGCTGAGGAAAAAACGGGAGGTTGTCTCATGGACAAGATGACTAATCACACTCTAAATACTTGACCCTACTACCCTGCAACACCTATGAGATAATTGCCATATCTAATCTTAAGGAATTTAATGCATCTCTTTATATAACTAAACATTCTTTCAGAAATTTGTAACTCTGAACAAATTCGTCGAAAATATTGTGTCAAATTATTTTTTTGCAACTGAATTCAGCAGCCGGCCCAGCTTGTTAATAGTTTTATTCTTTTCGATGATGTCATGACCTCTTTCAGCAACGAAAAGCTCCATCTTGCTTTCGGTGTCTGACGTGAGGGTAGTGACGTAATAGCGTCGGGAACGCGAAGTAGAGAGGTTCGTTTCCTGGAGCTTTTTACAAAAAACTGCGAATTTGTGCTATCAAGGAGATCGAATAACAGGTAAATATGATTCTAAAACGTTATTTAATTATACATAGTTGTTTGCATGTGCATGAACATATTCAAAAGTAGTTATTTAAAGCTCAATGAATACCGCTAGTAGGCAGGAAACTGCTTGCTTGGACACGCCCTATGGACTTCAATTTGATTATTTACTCCCATTTAAAATAACCTATTGGCAAATGACATTTATTAGTAAATGAACTTGTTTTAATCGTGTTTTGAAGTGAAAAATTTTAGAGATCCTTTTTTATATCTTTCGAATTCCATAAACCTCTGGAATGCTGGCCATTTGCAATGTTCGGTTCCCGTTTTAACCTTATTCCATCCCTTTTTTTGGTGAAGTGAATGAGTGCCCAAACTAGACTACTCAGCTGTTGACCCAGCTGTATCCTACGAGTATTGACTGCTTTACCAGCAATGCAGCACTTGCGACTGCACCACACCCATCTTGCCAATCAATGACAGCCCTGTCACATGACCCGAGGGGGCGAGCAAGCGTTCACACAGCATTTAAAGCGGACTGCAGACCGGGCACTTGGGATGTATGCTACATGGTGGTTTGATAATTGAAGAAAGGGCATTTAGATTTCATACGATTTACAAATATTGTTACAATTATTGTATTGTATTAGCTGAAGTGAAGTAGAAAAGCGAGAAGCATGGCAAGTTCTTAATTTCTAGTTTTTAAAAATATTTTTGATTGCTAGAATGCATATTGAACATTGTATCTTGTAGGCTGTTTCAGCCATGGATCAAATAACACCCAAGGAGGTGAAAATCCTCGAGACAGCAGAAGATATTCAGGAACGGAGAGAGCAAGTTCTTCATCGGTACAGTGATTTTAAATCAGAAGCACGTTCCAAAAGGGAGAAGCTTGAAGATTCACGACGCTTCCAGGTACGTCTCTTTCTGTTGGTACTTTGAAATACTATGAAGTGTCATGTGTTTTATGAGAAGTTTTTAGTGTGTTAGTGAGCAAATTTCGTTTATATTACACAGGCTACAAGTATTTTTAACATGAATTGTCTTCATCAATTAATGTATTTGTTTGTTTAGTACTTCAAACGAGATGCTGACGAACTCGAATCATGGATTAACGAGAAATTGCAAGCAGCTTCAGATGAGAGTTACAAAGATCCTACAAATCTTCAGGTATACTTGAGAAATTTCCATTTTTTTGACTTAATATTTTGGGTGATTCATATTGTATCCTTGTCGTAAGTAATTCAGTATATCATGGAACTGGAAAGTTCTGTAATTGCTTCCATTTTAATAAACATAAAAGAAATAGTAATAATAATAATAATAATAATAATAATAATAATAATAAAAATAAATTTAAATTATGAATTATTGTAGTATTAATGGTTAAAAATTTTTTGCAGGCCAAAATTCAAAAACATCAAGCATTTGAAGCTGAAGTTGCTGCACATAGCAATGCCATTGTTGTTCTTGACAATACTGGAATGGAAATGATAAATCAAGGCCACTTTTGTTCTGATATAATTCGCAAGCGACTTGGTAAGTTTTATTCGTGATTTGTTATTAGTCTGATAAGTCTATCTTCTTGTAAGTATTTAACTTATGTTTTTAACAGAGGACTTGCATCGCTTGTGGGAACTTCTTTTATCAAAACTTGCTGAGAAGGGAATGAAATTACAACAGGCATTGGTTTTAGTTCAGTTTCTTCGTCAATGTGATGAAGTGATGTTTTGGATCAATGACAAGGTATGAATATATTTATTGTAGAAAATGATTCACATCTTAGTGCAGTAGTAAAATTTTTAATATTCTCTATTTGATAGTTTTCACCAAACTGTAGATTCAGTCGGGTATTTACCTTATAAATTTTTGCATAATACCTTATAAATTATTAGGATTTTTATGAGAAGTCTACTGCGTTGTTTTCTTCCAGGAAACGTTTGTAACAACAGACGAGTTTGGACTCGACCTTGAACACGTCGAAGTATTGCAAAGAAAATTCGATGAATTTCAGAAAGATATGGCATCACAAGAATATCGTGTGACTGAAGTAAATGAACTTGCTGATAAACTTGTCCTGGAAGGACATCCTGAGCGTGATACCATTTTGCGTCGTAAGGAGGTTAGTAAATTGCTATTTGTCCTTTTTTTAAAAATATTTTTTAATAATTTTGTGTATGATGTTTCAAAAATGTGTAAATTTGATATTTATAGGAACTGAATGAAGCTTGGATGAGGTTGAAACAGCTTGCCCTTATGCGTCAAGAAAAGCTTTTTGGAGCTCATGAAATTCAGCGTTTCAATCGTGATGCTGATGAAACAGTGGCTTGGATATCTGAAAAGGATGTTGTGTTATCATCTGATGATTATGGTAGAGACCTAGCCAGTGTCCAAACCCTTCAGGTGAGATCAGAATATTGTGACCTGAATTGCCAACATTTTTCTTTATTGGTGGGTGTGTAAGTTTACTGGGGGGAAATCTCCCAGAAATAAGAATTTTGATGAATGCGAGTCATAATATTTCACTGTAAACTACAATGTAACTCTCAACTTTGTAAAATAGATTTTCATTTAACTAGTTAATCAAATTTGGTTATCTTATGTAACACAGATATTGAAAAAAAAATGTGTATACATAAAAAAGTATCAAGATATTTTTGAGTTTACCCTTTAAACTGAAAAATTTTTGTTGTGTACAAAAGGAAAATTATTACATGCTTTTTTTTTTTTTCAAAGGGAAATTTGATTAAAGTAGAGAACATGATACTCTCTCATGAAGAGAGTGAAGGTAGAAGGGGAGAGGAAAGGGATGGAGAGGGAGCGGGGTGCAGAAGGGTGATCCTTAAAGGGTGCTCCTCCCTCTAATGTTATGAAAAGCACTGAAATATATGAATAAAACTTACCAAATTGTTATTTCTTTATGTTTCGTGTCAGTTGAAGACACCATCAGGGAAAGGCGAGAGTTTCACTTTATATTTTGCTTCTCGTGAACCACGTCCCTTTCAGCACAGAATATGTACACACGTGAATGACCTTTTTCTTATTACACTTGCCCATGAAGCTATTACAGAACTCATTCTTTAATGTGGTCAACATCATAGGACACTTGCACATTGTTTATGTAAACCCTAATGCAATGAATCCGTGGTTTTGTGGCAACTGAATCACAACCAAACAGACCTTTGGGCACCATCTTTAAAGATCCACATTCCTCACTATCGCAACACAAACACTCAATGATTACATAGAATCAGAAAAGCACAAAAAATGAAAGTGTTCAACAAAAACATAGCCAATCACTTTGACAGCTGTCCAGCCCCATATAAAAATCAAAATCAAACTGCAAAGTTATCACTTTACTAACTTTTGCTTCAACAAACCAAATAGTTGTGGCACACGGAAAGGGTACAAAATGACATAATGAAAAAGTTTAAAAGTTAAAAAGCATTTTAATTATTGTAGTAGTTAAAATCTTAAAATTTATTTAGATCTCCTATGCCTCCCCAGACTTCTCCCTCGCCAGAGTGGCAGAAAGTGTCAGTTTAAACTACTACTTAAAGCTGTACCATGTTCTCTACTTCAGCTGTTTTTTATTTTATTTAATTTTTTTCTGTAATGTGTGGTATTAAGTATATTGTGCTAAGTTGTCTGTCTTTCCTGTGTTTTGTGGCTTGAATGTTTTAATACTGACCATCAATAGTATTCTTTTCTACCTCTTGAGTATGAAAATGATTATGAAATCTAAATTAATGTTTTTTTGTTGCTTTTCCTCTAGCGCAAACATGAAGGTGTTGAGAGAGATTTAGCTGCTTTAGAAGATAAAGTCACCACTCTTGGACAAGAAGCTGATCGCTTGTGTGGTATTCATGCAGACCATGCCGAGCAAATTCAGGCAAAGCGAGCTGAGATTGTTGCATATTGGGAGAGTCTCACTCATAAAGCTGAGGTGAGTTAGTCAGGGTGACCTACTTCTGGGAAAACATGGAAAATATAAGGCAAAATGTTGGAAATGGTTTATTACTTCAAAATATTCACATTTGATATGACAGTGTAATCAAGGGAACAAAACTAATGTTGAGTCATAACTTTCAAAATTAACTTTATTACTAGGGCAAGAGCACCAGTAGTGATCACAGTTAGGGATATTGTTGTAGTTTTCTAGAATACTCTATTCATCATGTGAAACAGAATGGGGAATTAACATACCTTTCTGAATAGATCACTTGCCTAACAATAGCCAATTTTTAATAAATCTTTTTATTTTTTTAAACTTTATTTCCACACATCCATTTTCTTCCAGAAGTGGCCACATGAAATTTTGGGCGTGGCCTCTTCACTTAGTAATGGTCAATCAATATTCTATCCCCTGAACATGTTTAAGAAAAAAAAGAACTGTTCATGCAATTATGTCATTATTTCAATATGAATTTTAATACATTTTTCAGTTTATTTTTAAATATAAAATAAGGGAATAGGAATAAATGATCTTTGTTCTAATCCTACCTACTGGAAGTTATAAGCTTCATGTTCTGAAAGTTTGAAGCAAGTGGGAAGGCTCTTAATTTTTGTTTTGCATGAGGAGGCCACAATTGGTGTTATTGTATTAAATTAATAATTCCTATTAACATTCCTTTTAATGTTTCAAATCTGGTGTTCATAAGTGTTAGGTTCATACACAACATAACGGCTGATGATGCTTCACTTTTATACATTAGAGTAAATGGAAAAACTAATACTTTATGTAATTTTAATTTAAAATCACATTTTTATATTGATAAGCATACATATGTTGGACCATTAAATTTTGTATTTGTAGAAAATCAGAATTACTCATTGAAAATAGATTTAGGTGACCAGTAAGTTAACCTGCTTATTACTCCTTAAGAAGTGGATGAATCAGAGGATTATCAAATGTTTGATGCTGAACAAGGTTGACAGTACAGGGATGATCTATTTGGTGACAGATCTATTTGGTTACACACTGAAATTGAGTTAAAGAAATTGGAATATCTTAAGTGTTATTTTAATAATTTGATTTCAAGTTTGAAATGCTGAACTATTTGCATATAATGTGATGATGTGATTTGGTACAGTGATGATGATAAAGGTCCTTTAATTTATATTTTAGAATGTGATGATGAATTACTACAATTTGTTATTGAAGAGGAAAACCTTGTGATGGAAATAATTTATAAATAATGATATTTCAAGCAATTGATTGATGAAAGTTAAATGGAATTTTTGTTCTTGGATGGTTGTTAAAATGCACTTTTCGTATACGAATTGTTACTGTTGACTCCTTTTGCAAGTCACTGTTTAAAATATTTCATTCACAACAGTTTTTTCTTCTTTTCTCGCCTATTACAAACTTTTTTAAAAAAAGGAGAGGCGGGGTGAAAAGTGTTTTTAAGGTGGCTTAACTTGAGTTCTTGTAAATTTTTCATTTCTTTATAAAGGTAGATATGTAATGAAGTAATGGTTTAACAGGTGGTGGTAAATTTATGAAATGCAGTACAACACAATGATAACACATTAGAATAAAGACAACACAATACTGTGCAAGGTGTGAAACACAAATACATTCTCAGTTACAAATTAATTTTAATATTTTCAATGAAAGCATGCTTTTATCCCTACATACATACTTTATGGCCTTTATGGGCCTACAAAGGTAGCACCGCTCAATATGACTCAGTGTGTTTATCACAATACCAATACTTTCTTCTACATTCATATATGAATGTATTCCACACACTTTCCCCATCACACACACATACACACATGCCCATTCCTTATCTTGCTTTGCGCATTCACAACATTTACTATGTTGAGCCATGGCCTCACCACACACTTCACTTCCATAGGTGTTTGTCATGACGTTACATTTACTCCCAAGCACCAACAAACACGTTTGGTTTCATACCCACACGTTCAACTGATTTTATGTATGCTTTCAATAAACATATTTTTAACAGGTAATTGCCACATATATCTAATCAAAAACTTTCAACAATAACCTGTACTGTAAATCAACAATTAGGACATTATTTAGAGGGAATTATAATAAATAGTGCCTAGAAGTATAACATGTATATTATACCTTAATATCTTTTGTTCTAATGTATTTACTTTGCAAGACACAAATGCTTCTAATGGTAAATAGTTACAAGTTGTTTCGCATATGATTTTCAAAGGAGAATTTCTGCGTATCAATCACTGCTTCTAGATTCAAACTTAATTTTGATTTCTATTTATACTAGTCATTTTGAGTAGTCTGCTCCAAATTTCCTTCCACCCAGGGAAATCTATACAAACTGAAAAATTTAGTATTTGTATTGGTGTTAAAATAAGTGGGTTATATTTTATCGCAATTGATTTTTGTAACTTACTTTCCAGGAACGTCGTCAAAAACTGGACGAGTCCTACTACTTGCATCGCTTCTTGGCAGATTTCAGAGACCTTATTTCGTGGATTAATGACATGAAAGCAATAATTTCAGCAGATGAGCTGGCCAAAGACGTTGCTGGAGCTGAAGCTCTCCTCGAAAGACATCAGGAGCATAAGGTAACATGCCTGTTGTAAATTGACTTGATAAATATTGGTCTTCACATTTCATTTAGAGTTTAGTTTGTTTAATGAGACTTACAGAATTTACCTTTTGTCTTCTCTGAATATTATTTCCTCGTAATGTCCACATAGTTAATATAATGTTTCCACAGTGAGCTCCAATTTTAATTTTGCAAGCAGTGCTGTAAAATAAAGGGATAAAGAGGAAAATGTTTGCATAAGAATGGAAATTAATGTAACTGTTGCAAAGCATCTCAGTCTTTTAGCAGCCTGGTGTATATGCAAGCTTTAAAAAGAAAATGTCAATGGAACGTAGTGGGACGTAATATTGGAGTGAAATTTCAGTTCTAATTTTGAGGTTAGGGAGTTTCACCACCTCAAATGTAAAACACTATTGATCTTCTGCGCATGCACAGTTTAAGTTTCACAACACTTTAGTGCATCAGCACATGCATACATTGATAGTGCTTTACGTTCAAGGTAGCACAAACTCCCAATTGACAAGACACAACTTCATTCTTCTGAGAGAAGTTTCATGTTTTTTGTTTTCAAAGGGAATTTTCTTAAATAGTATCATAATTTACTATAAAATTTCATTTTTGATGTTTCTTTTGAAACATGACTCGTATTAATTAGGAGATACTTAGAATTTATATGTGAATCTCAACCTGGGGTTTCTTTTTGTTCTGATAATGAAATAAATAAGATTTTGTTTGTAAGTATTGTCTACATTGTTTTTTTTACTTGTTTATAATGTTATTGATTTCTGTCAAAATTTTAACATTTGTGACTTGATATCAATCTCAGGGAGAAATAGATGCTCGAGAAGACAGTTTCCGTGCAACTTCAGAAGCTGGGCAGCAGTTGCTGGACAGAAGTCATTATGCTTCTGAGGAAGTGCGTGAGAAACTCGCTATGCTTTCTCAAGAGAAAACTTCTCTACTCTCATTGTGGGAAGAACGTCGCATTCTGTATGAACAATGCATGGACTTGCAGCTCTTTTATCGTGATACAGAGCAAGCTGACACCTGGATGGCAAAACAAGAGGTACAATATTTCTGCTTTTAATTGTTCTGTTACTTTATTTTAATGTTAATTTCAGAGCAAAGAGACTTTCAGTAACATTGTTTTTTAAATAATATGTCTCAAATTCTTGCAGGCTTTCTTGGCCAATGAAGATCTAGGTGACTCATTGGATTCCGTGGAAGCTTTGATCAAGAAACATGAAGATTTTGAGAAGTCTTTGGCTGCTCAAGAAGAGAAAATCAAAGCACTGGACGAGTTTGCCACAAAGCTTATTGAAGGCCAACATTATGCAGCAGATGATGTTGCTCAGAGGAGAGCTTTGGTAAGATATCTTTTTTTTCCTTTTGTTCATAATTTAGTACTTCCATTTCCTTTATTGTGATGATGATCAAAAGTCAATGTAAAATGTTTTTCTTATGACTGTTCAGCTTTTGGAGAGACGATCAGCTCTGTTGGAGAAATCTGCACAGAGACGAGCTACTCTTGAAGATTCTTACAAGCTCCAGCAGTTTGAGCGTGATTGTGATGAAACTAAAGGTTGGATCAATGAAAAGTTGAAGTTTGCCACTGATGACAGCTATTTGGTTAGTACTTAAAAGAGTTTGTAATTTTCTATAATTATTTAGTGGTGAGAAAATTTTGAATTATTGCATTTTGATGTTGTAGGATCCAACAAACTTAAATGGCAAAGTTCAGAAACACCAAAACTTCGAGCAAGAGTTGAACGCTAATAAGTCTCGTGTGGATGAAATTGTGTCCACTGGCCAGGAATTACTTGAGTCTCAACATTATGCCCAAGAACGCATCCAAGCGCGAACAAATGAGATAGAAGGGCTATGGAAACGTCTGCTGGCAGCTACTGACAAGAAAGGATCTAAGCTGCAAGAAGCATCACAACAGCAGCAGTTCAACCGCACAGTAGAAGATGTTGAACTGTGGCTTTCAGAGATTGAAGGCCAACTGATGAGTGAAGATCATGGAAGAGTAAGTTTTATCATGATCATTATGAACATCTCCGTGCAAGTCCAGTGTTCCTGTCCTAGTACTCAGAAAAGCAGTATTCCTTCATGCATTAAAGTCTTCTACTGGTGCCATATTCTTGTTGATCTGCCTCAGTCCATTTTGCCTTTCCATCTGTAGTTTAATGCTATTTGTGATAGTCACTGTTCATTATTTTTATTTCTTCTGCTAGGATTTCAGTTCTTTCCTAATTTCATTTTGAATTTTGTCTGTTCCTTTTTGCTCTTAAAATTGGCCTTTCTTTGCCTGCACTATTTCCAATATCCATGTTTACTTTGTGCCGATAACCATATTCATTCGAATATAAGAAAAAAACCCTCATTCAGCACAGGCCCTCTGAGAATTTTTTAAAACTTGTTAACTAATTCTTATTAAGTCAAAATTAAAATCGCTAATTATCTAATTGCACTATTTTCTTGTTCCTGAAAACCATAATCATCATCATCTTGCTTATCTATACATTATCATCTTTATCTGCATCATTGTTTCATTCCTGCCCTCCTCCTGAACTAGATTGCCCTGTTTAGTCCTTGAAAGTTCTTCACATTTGTGTACTTACTTGATTCATCTTTCAACTGAGCCACCTAAAACCATTCCTTTCTGTTGCTAGATTTTCTCTCTTCTCAAAACAGCTTCTTTTTTTCTTCTTTCTTTCTCTTCTCCCTCTTTCTTTCATCTTATTATGTTAGCATTAGTTTCTTGAGATGGAAAGTGCTTTTATAAACAAACCTCAACAGACTAATCATTTGATTTATTTGGTTGTACAATTCTCTTATTTATCAAGTTTAAACCTTGGCATTTAAGATATAAGTTTAATTGTTTCTTTATTATTACTCTGCTAGGGGTATTGTACATAATCTTTTCTGTCTTTGAAGGACCTTACTAGTGTACAGAATCTTCAGAAGAAGCATGCTCTGTTAGAAGCTGATGTAGCATCTCATCAGGATCGCATTGAGGGTATTCGTGTTGCAGCGAGCAAATTTGTAGAAGGTGGCCATTTTGATGCAGAAAACATCAAAGCTAAGGAGGTACAGTGATCAATTTCTTTTATTTGATAATATATTATTTTTGGAAAAGTAGTTATATTAACAATTTTATACGTTTGTTTGCTGTTTTATACCAAAAAATGTTTATTATCGAGGTGATTTATTTTTGCAGATGGCTCTGATGGAACGTTACTCTGCTTTACAACGTCCCATGAATATTCGTAAACAACGTTTGTTGGATTCCTTGCAAGTGCAACAGCTTTTCCGTGATATTGAAGATGAAGAAGCATGGATTAGAGAGAAAGAACCAGTGGCAGCTTCAACAAACAGAGGTTCAATCATATTTGCAACCAACCTTTTAATGTTCTTTTTATTATGAACTGTCATCTTCACCCATGCTTTTTGAATGATCTTTAGGTCGTGATCTTATTGGAGTTCAGAACCTTATCAAGAAACACCAAGCAGTTTTAGCTGAGATCAACAATCATGAAAATCGCATTGCTGTTGTTTGTCAAGCTGGACAGCAGATGATTGATGAAGGACATTTTGCTTCTGAAGAAATAAAGCGTCAAATAAATTTGTTATCTGACAGGTGGAATCAACTTAAAGAGAAGGCATTCCAGGTATTGTTGACCAAGAAAATAAATTTATGGATGGAAATGTGAACATGGTTAATTTAATGTTGTATTTTCGTTAGGAAATAATTGTTTGTGTAAATAGTTAAAATGTCTATCTAGTATAAGATATTGAAATGTAGCCACTGCAAGTCTTTTTAGCTTAATTTCTATGTTTCTTATTTCTTATAAAATATATTTGTCATTTCAGAGAAAACAAGATCTTGAAGATTCACTCCAAGCTCATCAGTACTTTGCTGATGCCAATGAGGCTGAATCTTGGATGAAGGAAAAAGAACCTATTGTATGCAACACAGATTACGGCAAAGATGAAGATTCCAGTGAAGCCTTGTTGAAGAAACATGAAGCGCTGGTGTCTGACCTCGAAGCCTTTGGAAATACTATTTCTGCTTTGCGGGAACAAGCAAAATCTTGCCGGGTAATGAGTTTTTTTCAATAAGATAATAATAAAATGAAATTTATTGGATTCTTACGTAAAAGGCAAGGAGTGTAAATAAAGGTATTTTTATATAAGAATTTTTTTCTGATTAACAGCAACAAGAAACCCCTGTCATTGACGTGTCTGGCAAGGAATGTGTAATGGCTTTGTATGACTATTCAGAGAAGTCACCTCGTGAGGTATCCATGAAGAAAGGTGATGTTCTCACTCTCTTAAACTCCAACAATAAGGTTAGTAGCATTGTAATGTATAAGTTATATATTGTTATGTATAGTGTGTTACAATGTGCATACAAGTTAGTGAGTAGTTTGAAGAATTAATTTTTTTCTCGCTTTTCAGGATTGGTGGAAAGTGGAAGTAAATGACCGACAAGGTTTTGTCCCAGCTGCATATGTAAAGAAGATTGAAGCAGGACTGTCTGCCTCTCAGCAGAATTTGGCTGATAAGAACTCCATCAGTGCTCGCCAGAGTCAGATTGAAGGCCAATATGATCAGCTTTTGGGCCTAGCCAGGGAACGCCAGAACAAACTCAATGAGACTGTAAAGGCATATGTTCTTGTGAGAGAGGCCGCAGAACTTGCAACTTGGATTAAAGACAAGGTGAAGTGTATATTAATAATGTTAAGTGATTTTGTGGTAGTTACATTTTTCTTTGTTTTCCTTTTCTCAACATTGGTTGGATGAATCTTTATAGGTTTTCATACAAAATATTTTTTATTATTCAGTGTTGGTATTCTTCCATAATCTGTTCCCTTAGGAATTCCATTGTGTCTGTTTTAGTGATCAAATATATTGACTGAAGATTTAGTGTGAATATTCATACTTCCTCTAAAATCCATTTAATATTTGCAGGAAAATTATGCAGAAGTTCAGGTTGCTGATGTTGGTGAGGACTTGGAGCAAGTAGAGGTCATGCAGAAGAAGTTTGATGATTTCCAGGCAGATTTGAAAGCAAACGAAGTGCGATTGGCAGAAATGAATGAGATTGCTATGCAATTGATGAGCCTTGGCCAAACAGAGGCTGCACTCAAGATTCAAACACAAATTGAAGTATGTGTATAGTAATTATAGTTGCATCTTTTGTTGTGTTATAGTTTCCCTTCTTTAGAAAGTATGCTTGGACAAGAATAAAACAGGTATGAAATGATTGGTTTGAAGATGTTGATTCATTATTAGAATCATTACATTCTCCCTAGGATTTGAACCAGAAGTGGACATCTTTGCAACAATTGACATCAGAAAGAGCCACACAGTTGGGTTCGGCTCATGAAGTGCAGCGTTTCCACAGAGATGTGGATGAAACTAAAGATTGGATCCAAGAGAAAGATGAAGCACTCAATAATGATGACTTGGGCAAAGATCTGCGAAGTGTTCAGGCTCTGCAAAGGAAACATGAGGGTTTGGAACGTGATCTGGCAGCTTTAGGAGACAAGGTTTGTTTTTCTTTCTGTGACTAATTTCTTTGGTTTTGTTGCTTGTGTTTGATTCAGGTAATGCTCTGTCAATGTTCTCTGACATGTATGTTAACATTGAGCATTTTCCTTTGTTTATTATAGATTCGCCAGTTGGATGAGACTGCAAATCGCTTAATGCAGACACATCCTGAGACCGCTGAGCAGACATATGCTAAACAGAAGGAAATCAATGAAGAGTGGACGCAGCTAACAGCCAAAGCCAATGGACGCAAAGAAAAATTGCTTGACAGTTATGACCTGCAGCGCTTCCTAAGTGATTACAGGGACCTCATGGCATGGATCAACAGTATGCTTGGTTTAGTGTCCAGTGATGAGTTGGCAAGTGATGTCACTGGTGCCGAAGCTCTGTTAGAGAGACACCAGGTAATGTTTCATTAATTCCACAATGGATAAAGGAACTGGGAACTGCATAAAGATTATTTTATTGGTTCCTTGTTCATGGCAAATGGTTTCATGAGAAATTTTTTTTGTTTCTAAATTGATAATGAAATAGTTTTTCTGCTCTCTTATTTTAGAGTTTTATTTTCAGAAATTTCTTCAATATTTAAAATAGTTTTGTTAATTATCGTATTATGGTTTTTATAGAGAATATAATATATCCCCATTTCACATTTTTTCAAGGAATTGGTGTTCTCTAAATATTTTGCCTATTCCAGTGGTGTGAATTTTTTCCAAATCTTAGTGAAACAGCATTTGAACCCATCTTTGAGTGACAACTTTTCTTTAGTTTTCCGTTATTTAAAATCTGTATTGACTTAAATCTGAATCTTCCAAATTAGAGGGAATACAATTCTTAGAAGAAAACAAGCATAAAAATTGTGTCTTAGAATGTGACACTGTATTTGAAATTCCCAAAACCTTATGTACATTCAAAAAAGGATTATTCAAAATATATTTCCTGAATTGTAGATTTCCTATTAACATTTATCACATAGTCCTGTTTTATTGTGTGACTGGGTCTTTGCTGTTGTGTAAGCCCTTTATGGACTTGGGCTGTTGGTTTTGTGATGTTTGCAAGTGAACAAAACCTCAACAAAAAAGAAATGCATTTGGAATGTTCATTCAGTGCTTTTGGAATTTGGAGGTTTATAGTGTGTTGTTCCTTTTTGCATAGCTGTTAAGTTTGAAACAAGCTTACATGTCAAGAGTTAATTACACTGACTTCATAAATTTTATGAAACAAAATTTGTTCTTGAGAGAGAAACTTATGCTTTACACCACAGTGTATATATGCTTGTGTTTTCCTTGTACATAGTTATTTCATTTATGTGAATTGTTTATTGGTGGAGTAGGTTCAGAAAAGTGTTTCAAGCTTTTCTGAAGAAAGGAAGCTGATCTTGCTGTGGAAGTAAAAGATACGCATGCAATTGGAGAACCTTCATGGAGTTCTGTATAAGAGTTTTTAACTTTTTCGATATAGGCAAAGAGAATGGGAGACTTCCATGGGTTGATTGATTTAGGTTTTTAAACAAGGGTATGAAGGGATTCTCAGCTGTTCAGTTCTGCATATTAAATTGTGTATCATTTGTTGCTTTTTAATTTTTGGGCAAAATAAAATAAAATTGAACTCCTTGTTATAAGGAGATTGACTTGAAGAATAGATTATTCAGTTTTTATAATATTCTAAAATGTATACAGTCCATGGTCTGTTTAACCTTTTGTGAGTTATCTCATTTTTGAAATTGCCTTGTTTATTACTTACAAGGTATTTGACAAGACTTCTGTTTTAATTTGTAGAACCATCGAGCTGAGATAGATGCTCACTATGGGGTTCCTCAGGTACACATTTGAACAGATCATTGTCATGGCTGTGTGCTAATGTAATGGCAAATTGCTGTGACTTAACATCTGTTGCATTTTAGCCCTTATAGTAGAAGATGCCAGACACTCTTGCTTAGCATCTTAAAATAAACTTTTTAGCTACTACATTACCTATTGATGTAAATCTCATAAATAATATCGGTTTGTTTGAAGTGTGAGATTTTTTCGTTATGCAGATGCATGTACTAACAAGAAAAAAAAATAAATATACAAACATTCTCTTGTCCTAAGTTTACTTCAGATAATATTTTCTTTTCATTGAGTTAAAACTAAGGAACTTAAAAAACAAATTAACTTAATCGCGTTTTTAAAACATGAAAAGGAAATTCTTAATAATAACTTGCTTTTGCTTCAATAATGAGTTGATGGAATGACATTTAGGAGAATATCTTGAATCACCCTTAACAATTTGTTCAAAATTCTTCTGCTACAAAACATTTTTAAAAGTTAGTGATCAAGCTAAAAATTTAAGAATTCACAAATTGTGTTTGCGACAAGAGGATATACATTTCACTTTCATATGATCGCATGATGTTCTTATCCATAAATATTGTACATGATATCTAATGTTCCTGTGAAACTAATAACTATTAAATTTGAAAAATTCGTAAAAGTAACATTTTGTTTTGCACGAGAGGCTGTATACTTGTTGTTAAATATGTTGTTGTGAAACATAACTTGTATTTTAGAAATAATCACTCATTTTAAATTACATACGAGTGAGATTTCCTAGGTTTTAACTTCTACAGGGGAAGATTTCATGGCAAAAAAATGTCATGTCTGTTGATACATCTTTTTTTGATTTAAAATTGGTTTCCTAGACTTTTAAAGAGTATCTGTTTCTTGTAATTACGTATTTTGCAGTAGATTAGAATTTTATTTTTATATTTTGTAGGAATAATTGTTCAGTAGTTGAACTTAAATAATATTTTCATTTTGTTTCTGTTGCACTCATTTATTTTTTTTTTATTTTGCTTCAATAAAATTTACATGAAATTGTGTTAGTGACTCCTGAATTTATAAAATGGGTAAGAATTGAGATGTTTCATAAATTAAAAATTACAATAAAGCTAATATTAGCTCTTTTTTCAACTACGATAACTTTAATACAATTTTCTTCCTCAGTATTATTATGTAGTTGTAATTTTAAAATTTGAAAGGTTCAAAAATGTTGTTGTTGTTGTTGTTTTTTGTTGTTGTTTTTTTCCCTTCCCCTTCCAAAAAATATTCAGCTTTCTAAGATAGTATGTTTTGATTATACATGCTTTTGATTACAGGAACACCGCACAGAAATTGATGCACGAGCTGGAACGTTCCAAGCATTTGAATTGTTTGGACAACAACTTCTACAGTCTGGCCATTATGCTAGTGTTGAAATACAAGAGAAACTGGAGAGTATGACAGAAGCTCGTCAAGAACTTGAGAAGTAAACTTAATTTTTATTTACAGTATTGATTAATTTCAAAGGAAAAATATTGATTTAACTGAAGTTTTAATGTTTTTTATGAAAACTTTTTATATTTAATCAACTCAGGGCCTGGATTGCTCGAAGAATGCAGCTTGATCAGTGCTTAGAACTACAGCTGTTTTACCGTGATTGTGAACAGGCAGAAAACTGGATGTCTGCTCGTGAAGCTTTCTTGGCATCTGAAGAAGTGGACTCTAAAGGAGACAATGTGGAAGCCCTGATTAAAAAACATGAAGATTTTGATAAAGCTATCAATGCACATGTAAGTGAAAAATTTGTGTGTCATGTACATATATGGTAACTTATCTATTTTTATTAAAGTTCATGGGTGGATGATGAAGTCCTGGTGACTTTCATGCTGCTCCATGATAGTTCAATAAAGTACCGACTAATTTCGTTGTATTTGAAGAGGTTTAAACTAATGACTTCTGATATTTAGGAAGAGAAGATAGCTGCTTTGCAGACTCTGGCTGATCAGCTAATAGCTGCTGAGCATTATGCCGCACAGCCCATTGATGAGAAACGTCGCCAAGTTCTGGACCGTTGGCGACATCTCAAAGAGGCTCTGATTGAAAAGCGTTCTAAACTTGGTGAATCACAAACTCTCCAACAATTCAGGTGAGTTTTGTAAAAACTAATAGATCTTTTAATTGATTTTATACAGAAATAAAATGAGAATTGTATGTTGTTAATAAAACTGCTTTTATCTCTTTTTGTACTGATACTCTGTAATGAGATATTTCTCTAAACAAGAAAAGAGGATTTTTCCTTAATATCTCATTTCAAAAATTCAGTCGTATTATATTCCCAAGTTAAGCATTGTCATTTGGGGTTTTTAACCACTTATCCAATTCAAGAAACTTGAATGTTGACATAATAATTAACTGTTAAAATGATGAATACCACACATATCTAAAATGCCTAGTTATTTTTGCGATCTTATTCCTGGCACCCACAGCTGATTTGCTGGACAATTTTAATCACTATTTTTTAACAGGCAGATAAGGATAAAATCTGAAACAAATTGCATTGTAATAAATGAAATTAATTGTGAAAATAAATAAAAATCTTTGCCAAGGTTTTGTTACTCAGTGTGGATCTGTGAGTCTACGCAAACTCTTGGTATAGCACCAGGCAACTGAGAATCTTCATTTAGCAAGATATCGAAGTGAAAAATTCACTTAATAGAAGTCCTACACCATTTACATCCAACTACAGGGATGGAATAATTGAATCAAATTTTTTCTTAACCAAAAGTTTTTAAAATGTTGGTAAGTTATATCTCTTCTGCACCACCTGCGGGACTTAAGTGTGAAGGACATGTGAATTTAAAGTTAATGATAAAATATTGAGAGGCCATGAACAAGGACCCAGCTGGAAGATAATCCGAAAGAATAGAAATGCAACGTGTAAACCTTTCTGAAAGAGGAAGGGGGCTGAATGTTCGATGATGACCTAGTATGAAAGGAGCACCAGAAAGAAACAATCCAATGCCCAATGTGAAGATGAATATGGTTGTGACAAAATCGATTATTTTGAGGAAAAAAATAGTGATCGCACAGGCAAAACAATAAAACAATTTAACATTCTCATCGAGGCAATTTTCTTTTCTGAGACAATTATCAATTTTATTTTGATGAGTAAAAATTAGTTAAAAGTGTGAAGGAAGGCCTCTTTAAAATCAATAGTTTCCATCCAAATTGAGGTTGTCTCGTATGCGTTAATTTAAAAATGTTGAATTTCAAATATATTTTTATTTGTTGATTTGTACTTATAACATTAAATTAAGATATTGAATGACCTTCATTACTGTGGAAAATTTGTAATAACTTTATTTGTGAATATGTGTCATCTGTCTCATCTGTCTGTGAGGAGACTGAATCCCTCCTCTCCCTATCCTAGGTGTGCCACTGAATGTTGTATTTAATCCAAATGTGGAAACAAACTTGGTTGGAATTTCACAGCCCAAATATATTTATTTTTGAAGTAATACTGTGTGTTCTTCAAATATGGATGTTATTTTTTATCCATAGCCGTGATGCTGATGAAATGGAAAATTGGATTGCTGAGAAATTGCAGCTGGCCACAGAGGAGAGCTACAAAGACCCAGCCAATATTCAGTCCAAACATCAGAAACATCAAGCATTTGAAGCAGAGTTAGCTGCAAATGCAGATCGTATTCAGAGTGTGCTAGCTATGGGTCAGAATCTTATTGACAAGCACCAGTGTGCAGGATCAGAGGAAGCTGTGCAGGTAAGAGCTGTGCTGGAGGAGTGTTTAGAGATTCTAATGATCTCCTGGTCATGAGCAGAGTGGTGCTCACCTGTTTCAAGGTGGTGTCTCTATAGACTGCTTTACCAACCAATGAAACAAAAATGCAACAAGGAATACAATAAGACTGGAGATATATTGAGTTAAAAGATTACTTAGAGACAAATTGATGAACCGTCGGCCAAGTTTGTTCTACATAGAGGTTACAGTTTCATTGGCTTGTTAAAAGTAGTAGATTTGGTGTTAGAAAAATTGTGAAATCTCCACACAAAATGTGTGAGCATAAATTTAAAACATTATGGTATATTCATTATAATTGGGTGTCCTGCAGCCAATATTTAAAAAAAAAAATATTTGCCTTAATGTTAGTATAAAATTGGGAGTGTGGAATTCAATTTTGTTGGGGTATGGAACATGAACAAGTATTAGTTCGACCTCTAATTTCACTTATGCTAAATTTCGACCATAGACAGGATTTCCGTATGTCTATTATTATTCTTCTTCACACCAAGAAGAATTTTTGAAATCGGGTTTGGGGTTGAAGTTTTTGCAATATTTAATCTTCTTTCTTTTGCACTAATGAACTGACGAAACAAAATTGTCTCTAAAAGCCTTTGGCTTCAACCATTTCATGCCTCACCACTACTGATAAATGGTAAAATTAAATATTTTTAGTGCTACATTTTGAAATGATTGTTTTGAATTTTCCTGCTGGAGTGTGAACAATGTTACACCCAATCATTGCTATTGTCCGTTATTTTTATGGATTTTTTAGATAGCTCTCTGATAAAAAATGAATGAATTTCATTAGTAAAGTTTTAAAATTTTGTAGTATGACTTTCACAGCTTGATTTTTTTCAGAAGAAATTGTCCTACTTCAATAAAAATTGTTTCCTTCCTTGGTAGGCTCGCCTGGAATCTATTGCTGAACAATGGGAATTCCTCACTCAGAAGACCACAGAGAAGACTGTGAAACTCAAAGAAGCCAATAAACAACGTACATACATTGCAGCTGTCAAGGACTTGGACTTCTGGTTGGGAGAAGTGGAGTCTCTTCTTACATCTGAGGATTCTGGAAAAGACTTGGCATCTGTACAAAATTTGATAAAGAAGCATCAGTTAGTGGAAGCTGACATCCAAGCTCATGAGGATCGAATCAAAGGTTCAATCTCTTTTATTTGTATTATAACAATTTTAGAATTTGATTGTAGCTTTCTAATGGAGTATTTGTAGCTAGTAAGTTTGTAACGACGTCTTTATGAATATTGCAGATATGAATAGTCAAGCTGATTCTCTAATAGAGAGTGGACAATTTGATACTGCTAGTATTCAAGAAAAACGGCAGTCCATCAATGAAAGATACGAACGCATTAAGAATTTGGCTGCTCATCGTCAAGCTCGGCTTAATGAAGCTAACACTCTTCATCAATTCTTCCGCGACATTGCTGATGAGGAATCCTGGATTAAGGAAAAGAAACTGCTGGTTGGATCAGATGATTATGGTCGTGATCTGACGGGTGTGCAAAACCTGAAGAAGAAACATAAGCGTCTTGAAGCCGAGTTAGCATCGCATGAACCAGCTATCCAGGCTGTTCAGGAGGCAGGAGAGAAGCTCATGGATGTTAGCAATTTGGGTGTGCCAGAAATTGAACAGGTAATATTAATAATAATTTAGGAAGTAAATTATTAAGTGTGTATTATGGTAGAATAATTTAATATTCTTCCTATTTTATGAGACATACAGTATTATTAATGGTATATTTTGAATTTCTGTTTACATTTCTTTAATGTTTGTTAATGATAACTTTGGAAACATTCAATAAAAATGATACTGGAGGTCAAGATTTAATTAATTTGGCCTTTTAGTAACTTTCTTTGCCTCCCACAGCGACTGAAGTTGTTGAACCAAGCATGGGCAGAACTTAAACAACTTGCTGCTACTAGAGGACAGAAATTGGATGAGTCGCTTACGTACCAGCAGTTCTTGGCAAAAGTGGAGGAGGAGGAGGCTTGGATCAGGTATGCAAAGTACCAAATTTTCATATTTTCTATTTCTTACATATTTAAAACACCAAAAATTGTAAATTATGTGTAATAAACAGTGAGAAACAGCAGCTACTGTCGGTGGAGGATTATGGCGACACTATGGCTGCTGTGCAAGGATTACTCAAGAAGCACGATGCGTTTGAGACCGACTTTGCTGCACATCGTGATCGCTGTGCTGATATTTGTGGAGCTGGACAGAAATTGATTGCAGATGAGAACCACCACTTGGAGAGCATTGCTCAGCGCTGCCAACAACTGCAGGTTAACCTTTCACCATCACATAAATTACTCTTATAAAATGCACTATTAGCATTAAGATAGGGTTCGTGTAATTTTACTTTTCCTCCTGTATTGTAGTATAGGGGGGAAAGTATTAGAATCATCTCAACAATACAATTTTCAGACTGTTCTTAAGGTTCTTTTGAGCCATAACTTCACACACCCATAAGGATTGAAGTCTTATTAGCGCCTTTCCGAAGACTGATAAGAATGTTGCAGGTAGTGAGGAGATACGAATATTTTGTACCCAATTTGGCATGGAGAAAAGTATATTTCTCTTGGGGGGAGGGGGTAAAATAAATGAAAATGGGCCGCCAACACCTGTTTTGGGGATTAGTGTATGTAAGAAGAGAAATTGAAACTGTCCAAATATTCAATTTCTACAGCTTTTCATGATTTAAAGATAAAGTAACAAGTAATAGTTCATTTTAATATGATATTGCAATCATAAGAACTCCATAACATCTTGCTATATTATTGCTCAGAAAGAAAATGTTTTGTATTGTGATGAATGAAATTTTGCTTTCTTTGTTGAAAGCTTCTTCCTTTTGAAATTCAAAACAATTTACACCATATGCTATTGTCTCAATGAGTGAGTAAAGGTATCCTGTAAACCACTTCTAATCTTTTACATCCACTCATTATTCTTAATAGTTAGAGACCACAAAATAATACAAAAACATTGAAAAATAAAAACACAAAGGCACTAGTAAGAGAACGAATTGCTGCCACACAACTGTTAGGTTACACAGCATCGAGCACTCTCCATGGGCATGGGAGCAGGTTTTCAGGGTAGATATTCAGACAGTGTGTCTCACCTGGACTCTTTAATTACTGAAGGTGTTAGGAATATTTTAGATGTTATCCAAAGCACAGACTGAAAGTTTTGAATTCGAAGCATACACACATGGGTTCCCCAACTGATAATGTACTTTAATTTTGTGAATAGAAACATCAGAAAAGTATTGTGTATTAATGTTTTCTTCCTCTGTGTTTTGATTTCTATGCTTTTTGTTTCTAGAACAAACTTGATCATCTGGCTGCCCTTGCAGCTCGTCGTAAGACTAGGTTGATGGACAATTCAGCATATCTGCAGTTCATGTGGAAAGCTGATGTAGTGGAATCTTGGATAGCTGACAAAGAAACTCATGTTAGATCCGAAGAATTTGGTCGTGATTTGTCAACTGTTCAGACTTTATTGACGAAGCAGGAGACTTTTGATGCTGGTAAGCATTTCAAGATGTAAATCGAAATTGTCAATTTGTTTTTTGGAATTGTTATGCTTTCTAGCAGCACAGTCAAGAACATTATTTGACATGCTCCTAAAAATTGTCCAGGTCTCCATGCCTTTGAACACGAAGGTATTCAGAACATAACTGCTCTGAAAGATCAGCTTGTTACTGCCAACCATGACCAAACTCCAGCTATTCTGAAACGACATGCCGACGTTATTGCCAGGTGGGTGTCATTTCCGTCAATTATTCAGAACCTGATATGTCAAAATGTTAATTTTTTGTTATTTGATTATTGATATTTTCATTAGCCAATGAAATTTTGTACCATTGTACCAGAAAGGAACAGAATGTTGTGAAATACTTTAATGGACTTTCCACAGTATTTTAAAGAAAATTTAATTTTTGTGAAACCATGAAATTTGGAAAGTGTCTCCTAAAAAGTTTGTGCCTTGGTATCACACATTTAATGTGAGAGTTCAATTTCATATATTTTCAAAGTTATGTAGTTTTGTTTAAACTCATCATTTTCTTATCTCTTTATCTTTGTAAATAACATTTTTCTCTCTACACAGTATTAAAAACATGCCTTTAATTTACATAGTACCCAAATAATTACCAGAACATTGCATTAATTTGCAAAAATTTACAAAAATACATATTGTATTCTATCAGTGTTATATTATTTTATTTTACACTTATAGTACTGTATTATTTATTTTACATTTTGACTTATGTCCAGTGTTCATTTGGCATACATATACAAACAGCATTACACCTGAGAGCACAGTTTTTAATGTTTTTTTTTTGTTTAGTTAACTAAATACGCTCATTAATTCCATGAAAAATTATTGATTATCATTGTGTTATGGCATGCATGTAAATAAAAGTCCACAACAGCCAACCAGAACTGAGAGAACTATTTAAAATCTTTTAATTATGTATCTATTATACAGACGTTTCCAGACAGTGATGAAACATGAACAAAAGTATACATCAAATATTACGTCCATCAAAAACATACAATCAATGAATGTATGAAGAAAAATTATAAATGAAACATTATTACTGCTTCTTAAACAATCATGTTAATATTTGTAGAAAAATAAGTTAAATTAAAAACTATTACCCTACTCAAACTTGGCATCAATCATCCTAATCCAAAAGTCGCTTTTTATTGCACAGATATGTTTACTTCACCTATTTGAACATGATGGCCCAGTTGTTTTGGCAAAACTCCTTAATTTGTTTGAAAAATCAAGAAAATTATTTATAATTTAAAATATCGATATTCTCCTTAACACACCACGTCTTCAATATAAACAAGCATGACCATAAGTATATTGGTTTCACACTAGCTGTCAAACAACAAAATATTTAACAGAAATAAATGTGTTACACATAAAACATTTGGTCTTAGCATATTACAAATTAAAAAAATGTAATTGTCATTTGTATTTACCTGCTCTCCTTTCCAACATTAACATGTGTTGTTCTCTCATACTTACCCTTAATTTCCGTATGAACTAATGTTTTCATGGCTTTGTCAGCTTTTTCCAATATTTTAACCAGTATACTTCAATATTTTCCATTTTCAAATGGAATTATCAAATACAATTATTCTTTTAAGACACGGAGGTGATAATAAATATACACTGCGAGGCCTACTATAATAGATCTTGTTCAAAACCACGATCAGATACCTACCTCTAATGGTAAAGATATGATTGAATTTCTCAAAATTAAAATTATACTTTAATGGAAACAAAAAAATATTGAACATAAGATGTGGATATAATTGCATATATGTGGGTATAATTGCACTCATGGTAAATAATAAAACTCGCTCCTATACTTACTCGTTTTCTGGAATGTATTATTCATGCAATTATCCCCCTCTTTATACACTCGTTTTGTTAATTACTATTAGTCAACACTTAAGAGCACATTTAAATGTAACTCTCATTATGTTGTAAAACTGATTTTAGTTTGTATCTATCATATCACAAGAGTATTCACTTGCCAGTTTACAAAGTAAAGAGGTTGGGTTGTCCACAATTAATGATTAATTTAATGTGAATGTTGGTATTGGAAAAGTAATGAATCTTCTGAAACTTGAAACTTGAAAAGGAACTTGAAAATTCAATTGACCTAATAAAAGTAGACAGTCAATAATGCTTTACAATGTTTAAATAAAAATATATCATTAAATTCCTTCAAATATTTAAGTGTTGGGATATTAAGAGCTGATAATATTGCGTTGTAATTTTGGTGTACAAATCCTTTATGGGTAGCTGTGATTCCAAAGGATTTATTTTGAATTTCCAATTTATTAATTTGAATATAAAAGTGGGTAAGTAAATACAGCAAACATGTAATTTAACGAGCATTATGTAGATCAAGGTTTCCTCTCTGAGAACTTAGTGGGTCCACGATGCAAGGTGCATGTTCAAGTTTCACAAGATGTGCGCCAAATGTTGCTGAAAGTCACTTACATGCCCTTTCATCTCAAGCCTCTGTTCACTCTCTCTACTTTTCCCACCCCACTACAAGCTTCTTACTTCTCGCAATAACTTGCCTCTCAGCTTGCAAACAGATGTGCTCATCCGAGGCTGATTTAGACTACTTTTGAAGTATTAATCAAATCAAATTAAATTACTATTATTTTCATCATTAATCATTAAGTGTCATCAGGTGATCCAAATAGACAAAACTTCTGAAAGATGATGAAAACCTATTTTAAGCAGGAAGATGTAATTTTTCTTCTGTGTCTTTGTAGATGGCAGAAACTGTTGGCAGACTCTGATGCTCGCAAGCAACGTCTTCTCCGTATGCAAGAACAGTTCCGCCAGATTGAGGAGCTTTATTTGACTTTTGCCAAGAAAGCTTCTGCCTTCAATTCATGGTTCGAAAATGCTGAAGAAGACCTTACCGATCCTGTTCGATGCAATTCTTTAGAAGAAATTCGGGCTCTGAGGGAAGCTCACGCTCAGTTCCAGGTTGGGATTTGTTTTGGAACTTGATTTATGTATTTATTTAGTTGTAAAAGAGTATAAATACAAAGGTATCAAACACTTGCTAAATTCTTTCATCTAACGTTTTTAATTATTGTAGTTTCTTCTCAATTAACTTCTTTATTCATTAGCATATGTGTTGTTTATTGTTTTGTATTTTGCAAATAAATATTATTTTGTTTTTTCACAGGCTTCACTTTCATCAGCTCAAGCTGATTTTGAAGCATTGGCTGCCTTAGACCAGCAAATCAAGAGTTTCAATGTTGGTCCAAATCCGTACACATGGTTTACAATGGAAGCATTGGAAGATACTTGGCGAAATCTACAAAAGATAATTAAGGTAAAGAAAAGTGAGAGATTTTATTGTTACTTGTTTATATTTAAGTTGTGAAATCCATTGTCAGTATGTTTTACTAAATTATGATAAAATTATTTAGGAACGTGACATTGAACTTGCCAAAGAAGCACAACGTCAAGAAGAGAATGATAAACTTAGAAAGGAGTTTGCCAAGCATGCCAATGCTTTCCACCAATGGCTTACAGAAACAAGGTATGAGTTTATCCATAAAAATTGTTGACAGTGGGGGGAAGTTATTTATTTTTTATGACTATATCATTCAACTGAGAAGCCTATTAACAAAAATGGAAAGGGTTCAAAGGTGGTGTAATGTAATGGAAAAATTAAGGTCAGACTCCCTGTGTGGAAGTTGTTTTAAGCAAAAACATGCTGTGATTATAATTTTATTCATTTTTACCTGCTGCTACTACTGCTTCTATGAAGAATAATGCATTCATCGTTGCATTCATCATTTCTAAACTCAAATGTCAAATGAATTAAACTCTAATTTCACTTTAACAAAACAGTATCCTGATATTTTGGTAATATTTCTACTTTTTATTGCTGGATGTCAATTATAAAGAAGTTAACTATTACTTGAACTTGCTAGTGAACTGAAAGCACTTCAGAAAATTATCTGAGAAAAATCTTAATTCTGTTGATTTTAAGTAGTTTTATGGGTGCTGAGGGTCAAATTTGTTATTGTTGTTCAAATTTCATTTAATATTTTCTTGTTATGTTCAGTATAAAACTCCTGTCCTGTTTGTTGCGTTGACAAAATTGTGGTTCTTTGAAATTCTTCGTGCAAGTCATCATAAATCAGTAAATAATAGAAATAAAGTATACCTTTATGTTGTATAAATAATGCTTGTTTCTTTTTTCCAATGAAATGTTGATGTTGCCGTTGACGTCTGGACAGATATCGTCTTCTAGGCTGGGATGGGTGAATATTTATACATTTAATTTACATTAAAACCATGTACTAAAATGGATTTGAACAGTAATCTCATTAACCAATTTAACCATTTTTTTTCTCACTGACTATGTGGATTAATAAAAAAGTTTTTAATTTTGTAATTTCACGATTGTTTTAATTACAGTTAAAAAATGTATTGATGACAAGGTTAAGTGAGGGAAACTTGTTTTTATATCGATGGCATCAATGTTGTTTTTATTTGTTTTTTTAAATTATTATATACAACAATAGAACATGAGAATGGTAAGAAATTCGGTGAAGTAAAGGTGAAATAGTAATTTTTTTATGATAAACTATTTTTATTTTGAATGTCATATATATTTGCTTTTTTTAAATTTGAAAATCTCATTGGACTTCGTGGCATCTTAGGTAGATGCAGTTCATAATTGCTTTGAGGAAAGAAAAAGAAGTCATTCGAAAAGAAGAATTCGGAATCCAAATAGAATTGTTTATGTGCTTGTAGAATTGTAACCTTTGTCGTTGGTTGCCAAAGCGACGTTCACTGAAAACATTTACCAAAGTTTCTAAGTTCTTGTGATGATGGTGTTACAATTTATGCTACTTTATTCTGAGAAAATCAGAAGGGAATAATAAATTTTGGTAGCGAACTTGCTACTGTATCTGAATTTTCATTGGTATGTTGGTTAACGTCCATTAACTTCTGGTAATTAATTCGGTTGAGTCATTATCCCCATAAATTATAATGTATTAATTACTAACAGTATGTACTTTTAATGTACCTACTTAATAATTTTGCTTTGAAACAATTTATTTGCATGTGAATTGGCTTCAAGTGCCATCAAACTTTGGGAAGTTCACATCTTTCCTGTTTTAGAATATTCTGTTTTTGAGCCGTAGAAATTTGTTGGGCTAGGTTGCATTAGTAGCGTGGTGGTTTGCAAAATGTATTTAATCCAATTTTGTATTAAATGCATATTTTGGCGTTTGCATGCATGTGCATGTGAATCGGTGTGATCAACAATTTGAGTTGGTTTTATACTTTGCTATATGAATAGGTTATTTGTTAGACAAAGTTTTGTAATCTTTCGTAAAGTGTGTATTTAATTTTATTTAACACCCAGAAAACGGTGAAATTTGTCGCCTGATACTGAGTATTACAATGTTTGAACTTTATGAATTTTATGGAATAATAAAATTTCAATAAAATATTATCACATATTAGAATCCTTGAGAGTTAATAAGTTTTAATATGTGTATAATTAGAATTTTGCCTTGAATGATTCCTGTGAGGATCATGTACATGAAGAAAGTGAATTGATTTGAAATCATGTAAGTTATTGTGCCAGCTTCTGATCCTATTTCAAATTAATAAGTGATGGACATAGATTTTGAATTGTTAGCTTTATTTTGTTTGTTCTTTGCATAAAATATGGAATTTCTGACTTCATTCTGATTGAAGGCATTCAAACCCAGCATTTTCACCACCCAGCAATCTTCTACAGAGATGAATACTTTGTCCGTGAGTCTGTTCAGTGAAATTCTACTTGTGTTCTTTTTAATTATTTTATTTAAAATGTCCAATTTAGGTCATCTTAAAAATACAGCAACATTATCATGAAGTAATTGTTTTGATTTTATTTTGTGATGCAACAAAATAAAAGAAAATTAAAAGCAGTATTTCTTTGCATGTAAGACGACATCAATAATTTAAAATTTGGTATTTTGAATGTTTATGACATGTGCATTCAATCTACACTGATACAGAACTGGTGCTTTTACCATTAATAGTCGTAAAACACTTAATGGCAAAATAAATTTATTTCCTTAATTACTCAATTCAGAGCGACCACTCTCTGTAAAACTGGGAAAAGTAAAAGAATTTCGTTGAAATATTCTGGCATTATCAGAAAAATTATTGCAAGTTAAGGAAATTTTTGAGGCAACTAGTGCAACTAGGTATTATTCTTTAAATAACATTGGCTCTGCATTCTTTTTTGGCACGATTGCTATTTGTAAATCGAGCTTTTTCAGGATTAAATCAGAGCTGGCAAGTTAAGCTGTTTCCAAGGTAGCAGTGTTATTAAGCATTTTGTGTTGTCTTTTACAATGCACTAGCGCAAGTAGTGCGAGAAAATCTGATGTAGTATTGACAGAAAGGCTTGGCTAGTCAAATCCATTTAATATAGACAGTGTGTTCTACTACATGAAGAAATAAACTTCATGTTGGAAAGAAATTGTACCTTGAATTCAAAGAAATATAGTGTTTGCATGAAAAATTAATTGTTTGATTTAAAGCAAAATTATAATGTTACAGTTACAAGGATTATCTTCTTCTTTTTTTTTTCCAGAACTTCAATGATGGAAGGGTCTGGATCATTGGAGCAACAGTTGGAGGCTACCAAGGTGAGGTTTGCTTTTCGGTGAAGGTTGCCACTGGAATCAGTCAATTGTGAAGCACAGTTGTCATGTAATAAATTATATAATCACGAAGCAAATGCTTTTCTTATGTGCAGCGTAAAGCAGGAGAGGTTCGGTCACGTCGTGCTGATTTAAAACGCATTGAAGATCTGGGTGCTATATTAGAAGAGCACCTTATTTTGGATAACAGATACACAGAGCACAGCACTGTTGGACTTGCCCAACAATGGGATCAACTGGACCAGTTGGGAATGAGAATGCAGCACAACTTAGAGCAGCAAATCCAGGCTCGAAACCAATCTGGTGTGTCTGAGGATGCACTGAAGGAGTTCTCAATGATGTTCAAGCACTTCGACAAGGATCGTTCCGGCCGCCTTAATCACCAGGAATTCAAGTCCTGCTTGAGAGCCCTTGGGTACGATCTCCCCATGGTTGAGGAAGGGCAGCCAGATCCTGAATTCGAAGCAATACTGGGTTAGTATACTAATTTCACCATTAATTTTTTCTAATGCCCCATTAGTATATTGCTTTCATTTGTTAATTTGATCAAATGAGTAGTTACCACAATTACTTTCTTAAACCTTTTCTTTCTCCAATTTGTTTGCCTTTAAATATCTTCTCCTCCCCCCCCCCCTTAAGGAAATTCATTATCAGTATTACTCTAATGTTTTATTTTCAATAAACCATGGAAAAACACACGGAAAGCAATTGACTGAAACACACATGATATAGCTTTCTATGATAGCTCAGCTTGCTGTAAAATATCTTAAAATAATCTTTGATATATACAAAACCTCACATTTACAGCCATGTTACAGCCAATTTATTTTCACATTTATTGCCAAGTTATGCCATCTTTTATTAATTTTCACATATACAAAGTCCAGAGAGAGTTATTTAATGCGCAGCCGAAAACTGAGTTTCAGGCAGAAAAATGCATCTTGTAGATCTTCAATATCGAAATAGTAAATAATTCTTGTTCCTGTATGTAGTAAATTAGTTCCTCCAACGTGTGTAGTCAGAATCCACACTTTGTGGGTCAGTATCAATACTGCAAATTGAATTATGGCCAAACGTGTTTGTCTGTGTCTGAACAATGTTAGCGGTTGAACTGTAAACAGGATTTCACCAAAACTGGTATTTGCCAATCTAGCTGATGTTGTGGCCTTGTATTTCAAACGGATATTTTGATTTTTGGGGGCACTTAACACAGTCTCAAAATTTTCAAAAGTATTCTTTAAATTTTTCCCTCTCAACAAAAGTTGGGTAAAAAATTAACTTAAGTAATATTTTATTTGAATTCTCAGAATTTTTAAAAATTGTCAAGCAATTTTGAGTGTCTTCCTACAACTGCAATAATGAAGATAGAAAATTTTTCCAAAATATGAGTAGTTTTTGTGTGAAACAATAATTTTAACAATATTTTTTTCAAAAATGACTCAAAACATTTTATTCAGATTTTTATCTCAAATGTAACAAAGAATGATAAAGAAGTGGTGCTGGTCCCTTCACTGCTGGTTTGTTCGCTTCATTAGACAGCATCTGAGAGAAGGTTGAAACAATACTAGCATAGACTAGAAGAGTGACAAACTAGTGCAACACTAGTGTACCATTCTGTAGCACCACTAGTTTCTTTGTGTATGTATATAGGGGGTAATATAGTGATCCTACAGAATTACATAACTTTCTCTCTACTAAGTTCTTTTTTCTTTCCCAAACACACATCTGTTCGTTTCAACACAAGTACCTAAAACTATACTTCGCATATTTAACAAATGGAAATTGATCTGGGCTATGTTGTGTCTCTGCTGTTTGGAAGCAGATCTTTTATAATTCTTGGCAGAACGTACTTGCAGCTAATTTTATGAAAATGTCAGGAATTTTGAAAATTGCTAAACCTTCAGGTTTTAGAAGAAACAAGTTCTGACATACAAACTAGGTTATAAAATCTTTAAAAGTGGACAGTGACACATGCTTCATATCTTGTTTCAGATGTTGTAGATCCAAACCGTGATGGTTATGTATCTCTCCAAGAATATATGGCATTTATGATTAGTAAGGAAACCGAGAATGTGCAAAGTTCAGAGGAAATTGAAAATGCATTTAGGGCTATTACAGCTGGAGATAGACCCTATGTCACCAAAGAAGAGCTGTATGCTGTAAGTGTTCTTGAAGTCATAGTTTAAAGTTAAGAAATTATTTTATTTCCTTAATCATATATTAATCAATTTTTCTTTATTTTCAGAACTTGACAAAGGAAATGGCAGACTATTGTGTAGCCCGCATGAAACCATATGTTGACCAGAAAACAGAACGACCCATTGCTGGTGCTTTAGATTACATTGAATTCACACGCACTCTCTTCCAGAATTAAAATATCACTTTTCACCTTGGTGACCATAGTTTGCTTAGCTGGAAAATGACCCAGCATTGTTATACCATTCATGCTTTATTTGGGAAGGGCAAAGGACATTAGGGTCACATTATTTGTTGTACGGTAGAGTAAACTATTCATATTTTAAAAAATCACAAGTCCCTAGCGTTTCCAGCATTTGCAATAGCTTAAGGATCTTGAACTTTCTAAAGAGCACTAATGGTGATTCTGTTCTAAGTATTTATTTTTTAATAATATGTGAAGAGATGTATGGGTATAACCATGTAATGATTTAATGATACTGCCATAAATCATATTTGTATTTATTTAAAGTAGAAGTAGTTGGACTACTGCTGCCTTCTGAAGCTTGCTGCATTATTAATTATTTCAATATCATTCTAACAGCTCTATGGAGTGGTTACATGAGAACACGTTGATAATAATTCACAAAAAGAAATGCTTCTTTGAAAGATCTATATATGCAAGGGAACTTATATGAAATGTTGATATTTTATTCAGAAATTTTCATGTATCTTAATTTTAAAGCCTGTTAATGATTGTGTTTTTTTTAATGCAGATGCTATTTTATATTCTTGTAGATCCAGTGATTGAAATGTCGAGCCCTTTATTGTATTGTTTGTGGCAGCTTTTCAATGAGTAAATTGTATCAGCTTTTATATTAAATATGATTTCAGTATTTGCAGCTTCATTCAGGTACCTTCAAATGATGAATAAAATGGTGTGAATGCTTTTTAAGTGTTCTTTAATACCTCTCACCTGTAAACTCCAGAAGGATCTACTCACCAAGTCTGGTTTCAGCAAATAAATCCACTATTCTAGAGACTTACATGCTTTCTAATCAAATTCATTCTATAAAATACTTTTCTATTAGTTAAAAAAACAAACTATTTTTGGGACTTTTGCCAACATTGTTACACTTTATTTTTAAGTGTAACAATGTTAAGAGATAGGTTGCAATTTTGCATTATGAAACTTGTGTAAGAGGCCCTAAACTAGAATTTTTATTAAACATTCAATTTTTTGGACAATTTTACCATATTTTAGACATTGTAATGGATAATCTAATATTTTCTTCTTTTAAATTAGTTTTTTTAATTGCTCTTTGTAGTGAGATAGGTTAGAAGGAATAATTAGTTTTCTGTAAAATAGAAAATAATAATAAAAAAATAAAAAGGCTGATACTACTCAATTTTAAACAATTTATGAAGTAAAAATAAGAACTAGAATGATGTGCATTCAGAAACAGTAATGTTGGTATGTTATGAGCTAAGTTTCATTTTTACTTTCTCGCATTGTGAATTCTTCATAAGAAGAGAAAGTTACATTATATGCCCTAGAAAACGATGAAACGTAGCAAAAAAAAATTTTTTTCCGGGTTCTGGAACTGAAAAAACGGATAAATCCAATTGCTAAACTTAGAGGTCCCTCCCTAGCTCGTGATGTAGATAGAATCAATGTTTTGTTGGTTCTTGATACCGAAAAATCGATTGACGGTAATACGTCCGTCTGTGGTCAACGCTAGCGGCTAAACCTTCAATCCATTTTCTCCAAACTTCATATTCCTCAATCGATCTGGCTAATGTCGCGGCCCCAGGAATGTGAAACCTGGCGATCATGCGGCATCTACTGGCACGACCGATAAAGACGCGAAATTTTGTGAGATGTGAAAACAGCATAGACTAGAGATATTGTATCTCTCCTCTATGCATTCCAAACACATCTTCACTGGCGCGAAATAGAAACTATTTTCTGTTGATGTCGAGAACTTCTGTCAGTGATTTTCTCTAAAATATCTGAAAAATCTAAAATCTAAAAAATGGCATGCAACTAAGTTTAAGCATATTATAATAATTTTACGAGTATGTTTTTAGTGATTTGTCATTTCCTTAAATACACAATTGTTACAAGTTTTAAATTCTGCTTGCTAATTAGTCTTATGTAATAATATTTGGTGGAAATTTTAATATGTTTAACCTGCTATGTCTGTTTCGGTTCTAGGTATGTCTCGTTACAATACATCTAACTAGAGGATAAACAATTACACCTGTTTACAAATGCTATTTGTACAGATAGGGGGGAAGAATACCTGGAACGGGGAGGGGGGCGCTAGCAGACTGAAAGGCCCTTCTCTATACCAAAGTATGTTACACCGCACACCGGGCCGTGAGGGGCCCGGGGGGGGGGGAGAGGGCTGGTTAAGAAGGGAGGCGGAGGGTGACAAATTTACAAGAATTTCATTGCACATACCTTTAGTAATATGAAATGCTATGCTAGGTGAAATGAGATGAATGTGAATAAACAAGATGAAATACACTGAATATACAAATGGATGTTGCGAAGTCGATGTTACTTCTCACCGTGATGGTGACGTATGAAGGTTTGTCCATGGGCACACGGCGTTGCCGAATACCTGATGTGTGGCTGTGGCATGCGTGGACCTCAAGATTGCTCCTCTCCGGGCGAAGCGGGAATGCAGGCGTCCCACACAGTTCGCTGGTCGGAGAGTCTGTCCAGCAGCTGGCCCTAGGTGGGCCCTGGCAGCAGGAGTGCGCGTGCGGCACACACGGTCTCGATGTGTGAGTGGGGTCTGCTCGTACCGCACTGTAGTATCCGCCGAAGACATTCACTACATGCGGCAGGAACCCGTTTAGTGGCTGCTCGTCGAAGACAAGGTAGCGCACGTTTCACTAATGTATGTGCCGAAGGCAGTGTTTTCGCGTGCGCTAAGCACATTGAGTTAGATTCTCTTCATGAGCACGGAGTCTGCTCAACACAAACGAGCTGGGCCGGCGGTATGGCTTTTGTGCCGTTCGTAGTGGTGGTTCTCGCCCGTCGCGTTACAAGTGAAAAGGCTGCAGCCCTTCGGGAGAGCGTGGGGGGCCGGCGGCGTGGGCAATATACTCGGCGGGGGTAATATACTCTCTGGGCGTGGGTGCGGCGGGCGCACCCTGCGGTTGCGGCCGCCTCCGGAGGGAGGGAGCGATCACCCGCCTTTGCGCGAGGGCTTTGTGTCGTGGACGGAACACTATTATCGCAAAATATATAATACTGAGTCTATATAATATTGATTTATGATTTTATCTTTGAGAAACATATGAAATAAATTTTTAAAATTTGTAGTTTTTGTAAGTTTTCTATTCTACCATTTAATAAGCCTAACAGTGATGCAGAAATAACCTATTTTAGGCACCTAAAACGACTTTTTTAAACCTCAAAATTCGCGGTGTAATAGTAAGTTGGGTTAATGTTCTTCCAATGCTGCGCAACATTTTTTGTAATTGTTGTCCCTTCGGCGGGTGGGGCGCGCCGACGGGGTGCGTTCGCCGCGGGCGGGCGCAAGGCGACGGCTCCGCTAGTCACGCGAACGGGGCCCTTGCATCAACCGAATAACCCTCGGTATACGGGGTCGCTCATTGAGCAGCGGGGCTGCTTCCGGCCTTGGAGCGGTGAGAAACGCACCTAGTCAAAGAATCAGCCCGTCCCGGGTGAAGCGCTAAAGATTCTCGGGCCCCGGGGAAGACCGAGTCTTAGAGGCCCAAATTGGGCTCCCCAAGAGCTCATCTCCATGGCAGGCACCCTAAACTTAAAAAATATCTGACGTTAACTGCCCGTTCGAATTGTCGCAGGGAGAAGGGGGAGAAAGGCCTTTCAATACAATTCTGGTCCCCTTTCCACCGCAGGCGTGCCGGGCATACACAGCGCTTATCTATTTACGGATCATAAAAATGCAACCTCCCACCTAGGGAAGTTAAATTTTTTAAAGGCGAATTTCGCGTGTGCCACCTGTCTTTAGGGGTACGCGACGTCTCATGCAGCAGCCTGCCACGCCTGCAAATGCAAGGAGAGAGCGGCCTAAAGTCGGCGGTGTGTGCGAGGAGTGCGGGCGTCTCGCAAAACAAGCGCGTACGGCCCATCCCGCAGAGAGAACGGCTGAGTTAGCCGGAGGCTCGGGCGCGCAAGGTTGGAAACCCCTCGCGGGGGGGGGGGAGACCGTGCTCCTGGCGGCCCACCTCAGGAGGACTAGAAAACAAGTGGCGGCTAAGAAGCGGAAAACGGCGACGCCGAGCTTCGGCAGGAGGGGAGACTTCCCGCACCTCCACAGCGAGCACCAGAGGCCGCAGCGGCCGGGGGAGTGGAGTGTTACGAAGCAATGAAGTGGCCCTCTGCCGGAGTGCCATACGGCTGAAGGCGAAGCTTCACACCAATATAGAGTACAACTCGCACCTTCAAGCCCCCGCCTTCAGGGAATGCGAAGCCTCAGAGAGGCCGGCTGATGGGGACCCCCCTTTACAGGGCCCCGTTAAGGTCTACTCACAATGCATACATAAACATAAGCACGGTGTTAACATAAAAGTTAGGACTACGTCCATAAGCAGGCTCATTTACAATGCGTTCGCATAAGCATAACACGTAAGACGTTAACTTAAAAGCTTGCATGATTGAAGCTTCTGTGCTTATGCTTAAGTAAGACATAAGAAATGAACCAATCACAGAACGGTAACTCAAAATCGACAATCGAAATTGGAACGAAGTCGATAGAAGAACTAACGCCATTTGGGACATAGTCACAGTCGATATCTTGAAATCGATTCTCACATCCAACCAGAAAGTCTCACAGCCAATAGAAACTTATTTTGCTTACGTTTATATTAGGCATTGTGAATACTTCAGTTTATCGCTTATGTTAATGTTTTTGTTTATGCTCTATGCTTATGTTCACGTTTGCATTGTGAATGGGCCAACAAGGAGGTCAGAGCCCCGAGCTGCCGCCGGAGTTGGTTAGGCTCTTGCCACCACCATCTCGCACCCCAAAGGAGATGTAGAAGTAGATCACCGGTGGGGGGGGGGGGTGAAACAAGGTGACCCACTCTCAGCACCTTCGAAGATCTTACCGGGCAAATCCTGAGCGTCCTGGCCTTCGCCGATGACCTAATGCTTTTCGGCGAGGGCCCGGACAACATCGTTGCTAAGCTGCGTCTAACGCACGAGTACCTTCAAGCGCTGCGAATGAAAGTCGCGGCCACCAAAAGTGTCGCCTTCCAGACCTCAGCGCGCCACAGGACCTGGACCACGCAGGACCCCAACATCTGCATCGGCGGCGATATCATCCCCGGGCGCCGTAGCGACCAGTCACTGCAGTACCTGGGGCTGGACTACCCGCCGTGGCGGGGCTTCGAGGCTCGCCACATTGTAGAAGACATTTGGGATGAACCAGTGGGGCGACTCCAGGATGCAGCGCTTGCAGAAGCTGCACCTATGACAGGCCTGCATCCAGCCGCACTTCCTGCACCAGCCGGAGCTCGCGATTCCGTCGCGGGCATCCCTGGAGCGGCTGGACGCTGCTGTACGACGTACATTCAAGGACGCATTCAAGCTACCGAGGAGCATCGCTGGCGGTGTGCTGTATTGCAGCCCGCGGAACGGGGACCTGGGGCTCCAGAGGCTTAGGCAACTGGTTCCCCGTGTGGCCCTTTCCCTGGGCGACATGCTGGGCGCACTCAGGCGACACCTTCTGCGGGGACATCATCAGATGCCGGAGCACCAGCCACCCTGCAACATAGAAGACTTGGGCCGGCTAAGGAAAGGGCAGCAAAAGGAGGAACTCGCCAAGTGGTCCCTCCTGAGCTGCCAAGTGTCGCGAGTTGAGGGGGAGAGGGAGGACCCCACCAACTCGTGCAGGAAGACAAGAGAGTATCTTTTAAAGAAGTTTATTACTCTTACCTGCGTAGT